TATATGTATCCTTCAACACAGCGATGGTAACCATTCTGTCCATCCTAAAGAGACAGCAAACCCTCTTGTTCTTCTGCATTCAACCTGACAAGTGACCACTCGAGCCTGGTCGTCCTCCGGCGGGTAGCGAGCGATGATGTGCTCTCATCCTTCTCCTCATATTTCTCTCCATTGCTCCCTTCTTTAAGGAAACCTCGCTGGCTTCCACTGGTACTGCATCTTTATCAACTTTTGAATGTCATCAAGACCATCCAATCCCAGCGGCAGCCTTGCTCAACTTTCTGTTTCTCCTTCTCGTCATCAAGCTTCAACTTCCATATAACTCATGTAAAACCAAGTGACCAATTTATTAGCCTTCCCTAAACTTAAGCACATCGATGCTTCAGTTTACTCCATTAGCAACAAAGCCACAACAACAATATCTCAGAGAAATTAGAAGCTGGCAGCATTCTTGCGGAAACAAATCAGTTTCACAACTATTGCAGCATTCTCTGACTTTCATCAGTTAAGTATTAAGCTCCTTATCAACGCACAACTTCAACTTGTATCTAGACAAGCTATGATATAAACTGAGGCTCATTGTTCATATAATCAGCAGTTGCGTTTAAGGCGTCTGGATACATACCTCCACCAACATCATTCTTCTCTTCTTTTTGGCACTCTTGCTATCACTTGTGGCATTTTCATTCTTAACTTGTCCATTGTTGTCTGCTTTCTTCTCGTGGAACACTAGACACCGATTTGGCATATGCTAGCTCGGCAAGAACAACATCAGGTTCTTCAAGTTGTTTCATGACTAACTCCACCCCCTGGCGGTTTCAGTCTCGTGGTCATGTTCCTTCACATCAGCATCAAGATCTTCATCACTCACTTTCCGCTATGACCTCCTTTCCTGGCTTGGCACCAGCATCATCTTCAAACCAACGAGGGGGAGTAGTTGCGGAGCAATCGTCATATCTTTATTCTCGACGTCTGCCCAAGATTTCGAGTTCAGCGGCAATGTCAACCAGGACACCTTCTTGGACTCCTTATCACCATCCTCGGTCGATTTCGATTTTGACGAACCGTGGTGGTCCTTCCCAGAATTCACAGCTGCAACGGATTAAGCCAAACTCTTCACAATAACGGAAATCATCAATCCAATCCAAGTCGCGACCTTTATGCACGCCCTTGGAGTACCCATCTCATCCTCCAGTTGATAGTTCCAATCAAATGGCAGATTGTTCGCCTTGAATTGAACCAAGAGCGATTGGAATCCTAATTTCATTATTCCATATCTCTCGCTTTTTTCTCACAGTCACAGGCCCCATATAAACAATAGGCGGACGGCGACCATGGTGGCCGCCGCCACCGAAATTGAATAACCGCTCTGATACCACAATGTAGTCTCACTTTGGGAAAAACTAAAAACCTATTAATTGAATGACAAAATCAAAGTTTAAATACATCAGACTCTTGTTTCCAGCACTAACCACATTCTAACCCACTAACTAAGCTCCTGAAAATTTGCTAACAAACTAACAGCTCTAGGTTTGCACGACCCAAAGACCTAACAAAGCTAGTTAACTAAAACGACACAACATGACTCAAAAGGCAACACAAAAGTCCAACACATGATCTGTTTAACCCAACAAGACCCACCATGCCACGGCCACCGAAAAAGCTTCATGCCACCCCAATTTTTCCTTGTCCTTCTCAGAAAGGAACTCTAACGAGGTTGTCTCCAAGAAGAAAAAGGGTAGCAACTTATGCACATCTATAAAAGGGATGCAAACCCCTCTTCTTTGTCTCTCACATCTACTCACAAAGAACAACACCAAATATGTGTAGCACAACTTGTTGGAGCCTTTGCTAAGAAGATTTGCAAGAAGAAGTTGTGAAGACCCATCCTTGTGAGATGGCGGTGAACAAAGAAGGAGCATCCAATCATGGAAGGAAAAGGAAGGCCTACACCCTAAAAGAAGAGAGGGTGACTCTTAGGAGACCACCAATGCCTACTTCTGCCCACATGATGGCGACATCTCTTGCCAGGAAGAAGGACAAAGACGATGACATACCCTTGGCAGAGAGGAAGGCCATCTTTGAAGAAGCCACTCACTATCCCAAACCATTCATTATCTTATAGAACCTATAGGAGAATAACAGAGTGTCATGCCACAACTGGAAAAGATCACTACTTTGAAGAATTCAAATGAGAAACTTAAGCTAGTTCTGCATGAGTATAAGATCGAGCAGAAGGAGACAACCATCAAAGGTACAACATAATTGTCCATATTTTGGCGAAACATACCCTCTCTTCATTGGCTCAACATCTTATTAATCAACACGGTTTACCTTTTTAGTTCAATCAATTTAGATCCTATATACCTCACCAAAAAAAATTGGGTAAATACAATATATTATCCATAACTATTAAAAAGCGGGGAATTATAGCCACAACTATCGAAATACCAATTATTATCCAAACGTTAAGTCTCTGTTAGAAATTTTGTTAGTAATGTTGATTAATCTTTTAGGATGCTGAGCTCGCTCCTATGTGGCAGTCAGTGTATCTTATTTTAAATTTAAATTTAAAAAAAACAAATAATTAAAAAATGAAAGAAAAAGATCTTCTTCGGCCTCTATCTCACCATGTCGTCGCCTCTCTCTGCCTCTGTCACCGCCGACCCTCCATCTCACCACCTTCGCTTCCCTATCCGTCTCTATCACAGCCTCTGTCGTTGATGCTTGGCTCCAACCCCTACCCAAATAGGAGCAGTTCAAGCTACTGTCTCCTCCACTCTCAAAAGAGAGAAGAAACTACGGTGCTCTTCGTCTTCCTCACAACTTAAAAACCCAACAGATCTGAAATCTGCAGATCTCCGGCGAACTCGGTCACAATTGGAGATTAGAGATGGCGGTCACCATTTTCCCTTTTCTTCCTTCCTTCTCGTCGTCGTCGATTAGAAAACCCACAAAAATTACAGCCGACATAACCTCCGCCCTAGTTCCATATCTGCCTTATCTAAATGTGTGAGGCGAGAGGGATTTTCATACTATAACCCCACTTCCCATGCCCGATGGAAGAGAGTTTCTAGCTCCCCATCGACGATCGAGGGGAGGAAGGAGATGGAGGATGCGGTGGCGGTGGCGGTGGAGCCGGGGTTCACGGTGGGGGAGTACAATTTCTTCTGGGTGTACGATGGGCACGGCGAGGCGGGCATGGCGGAGGCGTGCAAGGAGCGGCTGCACGAGCTGCTGGCTGAGGAGATTGGTGTCGCGGCGGCGACGGGTGGGGGTGGGACCGGGTGGGGAGGTGTGATGGGGAGGTGTTTCGAGAGGATGGACGGGATGGTGGAAAAAAAGGTCGGATGGTGGGGTCGACTGCGGTGGTGGCCTTGGTCGGGAAGGAGGTGGTGGTGGTGGCCAATTCCAGCTCCCATCATCTTTCTCGTTTGTGACTGAGAAAAAAAAGAAGAAGAGAATGGAAAGAGGGAGATAGGGGACTGGAGGGCGGAGGAAGGGAATGAAAAGAGGAGAGAGGGTTTTCAATTTTAATTTTTTAATTCTTTTCTAATTAAAAAATAAAAAATTATATATTTAATAATTTGCTGATGTGGACGCCAATATGGAGGCTGACGTGGCAGTTTCCGTTAAAAAATTAATGATGGTAACGAACTGTTAGCCATTTCTTGACTCGCAACAATAGTTATGGCTAATAATTTGTATTTTGATAATTGTGACTATCCCGTTTTTTAATAGTTATGGATAATATATTGTATTTACCCAAAAAATTTAGATCCGGTATATATTCGTATCTACACATTCTATTGAGCAATATCAGGCAGAAACCTAGGACTACAAGCTATAACAAAGCGGAAGGTTTATGATATTAATATTATGTTGCATAAAGGACTGAGGTTGGTATTTTTTTAGTTTTAAGGTGCCGAAGTGGTACTTTATCGAAAAGGAAGAGGAATGAAGTCAAATAGTCAATTGAATCATACGCCAACGCCACAGCGGCGGCAGCGGCAGAAAGTTTCGAGTCGACACTCGACAGATTCCCAAACAAACAACACGCAAATATTCCAGAGACGCCCTCACCCTCCGCCGGCCGCCGCGAGAGGAAGGAAGTTGCCGGTTAAGTACGAAGGGGCCACGGAAGGCAAAAGAGAAGGCCGCTCTGTCCGCCTCCACACATTCCTTGTGCTCATAAACATAGGGCAGAGAATGGATGAGATGACGGCAGCAGATGCAACACCACCGCCGCCGGCGCCGCCGTTGCCGAACCTCGTAACATCCTTAGAGCAAGCGGCGCTGTTGGCAAAGCAGCTCCCTTCCACGTCCGACCCAGGTCAACTTCAACAAATCTACTCAGCCCTCCACCTCGCCCAACACCATCTCTCTTCCTTCCTCCTCTCCCACTCCCGACTGCCCCTGTCGCCACCGCAGCAGCCGGAGGAGAACTCCGTCTCCTCCGCCACGGGAGCTGGTGGAGACAACGGGAGCGAGCCGATGCAAGTTGGGGAGGAGGAAGGCAATTCCATGCCTGCTGCTGCAATCGACAAGGTGGAGGAGAGGTTGAGAGAGTGTTTCATCAAGAACAAGAGGCCCAAGCGGCCGCGCTCACCCTCTGCCGCGGCCATGGCGGAGGACCGGAGGTTGGGCGAGGATGGGTATGCAGCCGGAAGAATCAAGGGTTATGACCCTTTAGGGACCCGATTGAGAGCTTTGGACCTCATCGATCAGTTCCACGCCTGAGAAGACCAGAAATACAGACAGACTGTTCTTCATTCTGAAAGAGATTTCAATGAACATGCTCTCTCTGAATTTGCTGTATACACTATAAAATTTGAATTTGAATGATCCCTGCCCGCTAGCTTCTCAAATCCCATGTCTGTCGTTGCTTTCTTCTTTGTACTGCTGTAATGACATGAGTGAGATAGATGCATTCAACATTTGGAATCTGCCGCAGTTCTTCCCCAGTGTCATTGTATGCTAAACATCCTGCAGCATCGGTGGCGGGTGTTTTCAGTTTATTGCAGCTCTATGGCCTCACTAGCAAGTTATGCAGCTTCACAAAATCATCCAACGTTAGTTCCTCTGGTCTTGACTGCACAAGGATGATAAAATGTTTCAAAAAACAAGAGAAATCATCAGTCTAAACAAGATTCGAAACAACAACTGTAGGCCAGTGGCAGGGGCAGTTTACTTACAGTAGCTGGTAGACCAACATGCTGAAGAGCCGTTTCAATCTCCAGGGGGGTGCATATGTGCTGAAGTGTATTCCTTAACATCTTCCTTTTCCCATTGAACGCAGAATTCACCTAATTTTCCATCCCCAAAAATCGTTGTGTCTCAGTTTTTGTTGTGAACTATGAACGGGCAAAGAGACGAAGAGTACTCGCAGGTTAGAGGATAAATCTATTACCAATGAGAAGAAACTTTTGGTGGAACAAACTGCTGGATAATCTGCAGTTTTCTTCAGCTTAAAGGTGACCACTGCTGCATCAACCTGGTGAAGAAATTTGATCATCACATGAAACAATGTGCCATGAAAACTTGCTTTTCTTGTGATCTGACTGATGTGAATTCCAAACAGGGAAACTCGGTCACTTACATTCGGCTGAGGGAAGAAACTGGACCTTGGGACATCAAATTTGTACTCGGGATCTGAAATGCGGAATGAATCAAATGGGGTTGGGGCAGTGATAACTAAATGGGAAATTGAAGTCCCTACAGCATTATTTGCCTGAGTAAAAGTTGACGAAGAGATTGATGGGTCGATATTCAGATGTTCGTACTGATGAGCCAACCAGTCGCACTGCTGTTTCTTCCTGAAAACATACTATCAATCTTTGTCAAGAAGTATATTGATTTCCACATATCAATAACACTATGATCAGCAAAAAAGATACAGAGGGAAAGAACCCACAAGTGACAAGTTCCATGAAACCACAGACAACCCATTAAGAGAAGAAAACATGGAGAGATTTGTTACTGGCCTGCAGCAAAAGAACAACTTCCGAGAAGATGTCGCCCATTGGAAGCAGCTGCTTTACTACATCCTTGCTTATGTTGAACGGTATATTAGAAACCACCTAGAGAATATCCCAATAGAGAAAGCAATGAGAAATGCATAGATGATCATCTGATGAGGTTACACGAAAACCTCAGAGATTGTAAAAGGAACCATATTCGTCTGAAAACCAAGGTTTGATCACTCTTCAATAAAGGATCCAGATAATCAAACCGAAAAAGGAGGGGGTTCCTTCTTACTTTTGCAAATCTGGCTTTACCACCTGAAGCACTTAAACTTTCTAGGAGAAGGGAAATGTGAGAACCAATGTTGCATTTGACGAAGTCCTCTTCCACAACCTAGGCAAGAGGAAATTAAGGGAATAAAGCTCTAATAATAAGTTACAATCTCAATTCTGATGGTGACTCTCACCTTCAAGCGTCCAGTATCAGCAAATCTTTCTTCAACCAGAGCAGCCATGTAAGGATCCTGTGCACAGCCAAAAATATCGCACGATGTAAGAACAAAATGGACGCAGCTGGTTTGAGCTAAAGGATAAGGGGAGGCAACACGCAGTTACTTTCTCAACGGCCAGGACGGTGGCGCCGGAGGAAATGAGAACGTTAGTCAAAGAACCAGTCCCAGGTCCAATTTCCAGCACCACATCCCCTTCCCCCACATTAGCCGCACCAGCTAGTTGGTCGTTGATTTCAGAGTTCAACATGTAATGCTGCAAAAATAACATTCAATTACGCCTACTAACTGTTCGAAGAAATGCCCCGCAGAGAAGCCAGCGAATTTCTGCGCCTAACTGGAAAAAAATTTTCGAATAGCCGAGCTAAGGCCGTACAGACCTGGCCAAGTGACTTCCTTGGTTTGCGGCCTCTGGAATTTAGAGCTCTAAGAGTGGCGTGATAATCATCCGGGCTCTTTTGTGAAGCGCGAGCGCATTTGACTTCTGGCCTTTTGCTCCCCACGCTGCCGGAGCCATTGTCGCGCGGAGATAGCCAGGGCCTCGGCCGCGGGACTCTACGCCGGAGCTCCGGCAGACAAGGTTGAAGAATTGGTTGCAGGGACGACGGCAGATGAGGCGCCCAGCTACTCATTTCTTGCTTTTTCCTCGGACTGCTGCGATGCAATGCAATTTCGCGGGGAACTCTCTGGCTGAATATTATCTAAACAAAAAGAAACAGTTAACACCAATAAGCTCTCTCGACTTGCCAAGTGTTGTCAAACTAGTTTAAGTTATTGAACCGATAAGTAGGTGGTTCGAAGGATAAGTTCAATTTTATTTGAATCGTTTTATACGTTTTCAAAATACATATTCAAATAAAATATAATAATTTAAAATTTTAATAATTAAAATGAAATTTATCTTACATATAAGTTATGATAAATTCCTGTCCCATTAAAAAGGCTACATAACCTCATGACCCATTCAAGAAATTTGAATCAAGGCAATCAGTTCATTATCTTATATAATATATATCAATCTATCTTTTTAATATTTGACTTAACCCGTTGGTAAGTGGATTAAAACATTTGGAGATTTTCTTAGGGAAGATATTTTATCACTATGAAATCCTAGTTCCTGGTTCTCTAACCCGTTGGCATGTGCCAAGCTTGTTTTGTCAAGATGGCCATATAGGAATCTGTTAAACTACCAAAACCGCAAGCATGCCTCCGTCTTGGGGGAACATAAGATTTCCTTCCTCCACCAATGAAGACTACTCTTTTGCATTGATCCCAACCAGAAGAAATTGATGAGTAGAGAATTCATATTTTTTATATGAAGGTTATATAAAATTTTGTTTTCATTATAAGGTGCTATTTGAGGGATGCGAACTTGGAACCTCAAACAAAAGAGAGACAAAAAGATCCTCTCACTAGTCTCAAATCCTCTGACCTCTCGCTTACTGTCCTTTATCCATTCTCCCAGGGGGGTCGCCGGCTTCACTTTCGGGCGACCGGCGGCAGCCCATTTTCCCCTTTCATCTTCTTGCTTTCCTCTTCCATCCCCTTTGTGGGTCTTTCCAGTTCCATATTTGCTTTCTCCCTAGTGGATTTTGCCATGAATCTCTCCTCAGAGATGGTTCCTCTTCCACACTTTAGATCTGTTGTCAGGTCTTGAGGTCGTTCTCGGTGTACAGAGGGAATTGTTTTTGCAATTTACAAATTTCCTTTTGACTTTTGGAGCTTTCCTCCTTGCTTCACTCAAAATGGCGTAGTGATTCGGTGGATTTGGCTTGATGCCTTTGGTGTTGGCTTGTGTTGTCTCTTGTCGTTGCCTGGCTCTATCGCTCGTTTGTTGGTGGTTGTTCTTCAGGTCGGGGTCAGCGATGTCGGAGACTTTGCTGCTTGGGGTGGGGATCTTCCTCCGCTTGTGTGTTGGGTTTCTTCGTTGTGGGGTTTGGCGGTGGTGTTTCTGTTGGTGTGGGGTTGGCGCTGTTGCTTGGGTTCGCGATGATGATGACGATGGTGGTGGTCTCTGGTGGTGGTTGGTGTGTGCGGCGGCTTTCTCCAGCGGCTTCTTTTCGTGTGGTGGTGTTGGTTTTTCCATGGGCTTAGGGTTTGTGAGGGGTTTGGTTTCTATGGAGTTGTGTTTGGGTTGGGCTTGTTGTCGTTGGGTTTTTGTGTGGGTTGGGGTTTCTTTTTTTTCATTTGTCAGTTGTGTGGAGCATTTTTTTACTTGTTTTGATCCGTGTGTTTGGTAGCTTTTTGTTCACTTGGGCTTGTCCTCCATCTTTCTTGGATTTCGGTCCAAACTCTGTATCACATTCCTATTTCGTAATGAAATCAGGTTTCGTAAAAAAAAAAAACTTGGAACCTCCAGTCTCAAGAATAGTGGTACTATCACTAATCCAAGTTCTTGTTCGCCAACAAATAATCCATCTTCTTTATGAGGAAAACTGAGAACAGAAGCAAACACATGATATAGAAAGGGATTAAGGGATAGGCCTGGATCACCAATTTAAGTATGATCTCCTTTCCTTCGTGGGAAAGATGTAGACTCTTCCATTCTTCACCCATCTTTTTCATTCTTTGAATGAGGAAATAGAAGGTTTCATTTATTTGTATCCCCCTCCCCCAATTCGGTCGGAACCCCGAAATATTTAGAATGACAGTTCAGGGTAGCGAACCCATATGTGTAATGATGTCTTCTTTCTCACTAGGACATTAGCACCAAAAAATATGAAAGATTTATTAATATTGAACTCCTGACCAGTAATAGCTTCATAATCCTTGATGAGGTTCATAATTCTTTCTGCTTCTTGTTGGTTTGCTTTTTCAAAGATAATTATATCATCAACAAACAGACCATGAATGAGTATATGACATTTAGCATTGAGCTTAATACCTTTGAGCGGCTTATCATCCAACGCCTTGTGAATAAGAAATCTCAGTGCATTTGACATAGAGGTCCTATCCAATTCAATCCAATCCATCTACTTAATTATTCAACTAATCCAATCCACTTAAATCTAATCCATTGATCCAAATCCAATTGGATTGACGGATTCATGGATTGATCCATGGATCCAAATGATAATTTACAGTTTAGTGCCTATATTTTTATATTTTACATTTTGATACCTAGAATTTATTTTTAAACAAAAAATGCCTTTTGAAAATAACATTTTGGTACCTAATTATTTTTATTATGACATTTTGGTACCTAAACTTTTCAAAATTTACAAAATGGTCCAAGCCTTGAATGTCATTTGCATTTATCGATCAATCCACAAATCCATATGATCTAGCAATCCATTTGTCAACTCTAATTTAACATAAGATTGAAAAGAAAATGGAAAAGAGCCTTGCACAAGATTTCAATTTTAGTTGCAGATAGATAACCACAATACTAACAATGCCATACCAGCAATATAGTTCTTAGAGTTCTGACTAGTATATAGCCCCTGTTTCACGGTCAATTTACAGGCTGATCATCTAGAAGGAAGTCTTCAACTGACGCTAACAATATTTGCTCCAGTTCAGAGTCTTCCGCAGGTTGTTGAGCCTGCTGCTGTGGCAGCAGATATTGCTGCCGAAGCTGCAATGAGTTCTCGGGCATTGTTGAGCCCAGAGAAACGCTGTTCAACCCAGGTCGAGGGGATATTATCTGACTTGACGGATCCACTTGAGCAGTAAGATGGTGAGAGCCGAAGGAACATCCCAAGATGGGCGTACTTCTTCTATTGTTGTGAAATGTTGGTGTTTTGCATGTTGATGCTGCTGCTGCTGCTGCTATCCTTGTCAAGGACACCGGGGAAGAAGTCAAACTTCCCTCCAGTAGGCGGAAATGTGGCGAAGCAGCGTTGTTACCACGAAGCACTGCCATTTCGAGCTCCTCACGCAGTCTCATTAAAGAGAGACGGTGCTTCTGCAGAAAATTTTCGCGTCAGTTCTCAAACTGCATATGTTTTTTTTTTTTTTTATAAAAAGGCTGTTCTGGAAGTCAGAAATTTCTTTTGGAGATGATAACCTAAACCTGTAAATGGCTTGAGATATTGGCTTTGCTCAGCTCTGGCACTTTCATGTACTCAAGTATCTTCTTTGGTCTGGCATCTACAAGTCGAGTTGGCTCAGCTGCCCAGTAAAACAACATAGAAATGACAATTTCAGAGTACATATGTATTAAGTGAAGTCTTACGATCAACTCCTAGTAGATTGACGGCACGCAGGAACTTGGCATGTAGCTCTGGGGTCCAGATCATCTTAGACCTCTTTGGCTGTGGCATACAATAATCTTTACAATCATTGCTGCTTTCAGTCCATTCCGCCTCTTTTCTCTTGCACTCTCTGGTATTATTCTCATAGAGAGGCATCTCCCGACACTTACTCGTTCTTCTTCCAAGCTTCTTCAGGGAGTTTTGTCTCGTCATAAAAGAGAACTGCCACAGGTTTTTGATGTCTTGCATAATGATAGGTTTGGGAATGTAAAATGCTGCCCCTTTGAATAGGCAGCCTAGCATCACATTCTCACTGCTGTCAGAGGACAATACTACAAGACCGCAGGGAACACAAATGTTCAGTTTAAATCATATGTCTGAGAAGATTAAACAATGAAACAACTAAAAATAGATGATGGGGAGTCGATGAGGATATTCATTCACTAACCCACAACTGGCAATGAAGATATTTCCCTTATCGTCTCCAGAAGCTCATATTTGCCTATGTCAGGCAAGTACAACTCTGTAAGGACCAGATCAATTTCACCTTGTCTGTCCTGTAGGATGTAGAGTGCCTCCTTGGCCAACTTAGCAGTTGTAACTGCAAAGTAAAATAGCAGTACTTGGAGCTCAACATTAAGATCCCAGAGTCACACAAGTGATTATAGATTACCAACGGAAAAAAAAAAAAACCTAAACACAAAATATCACAAATACATCACCACGTGGAAATGTTAGACGCAACCTTGGCTTTGCTTGGTGGTATATATAACTGCAAGAGAGTGGCAGAGTGAATTCCGGATGTGGGAATTCGAAGTCCCAATTTTGAGACTTCAATTTGATAACAATCAATCAGATAAAAAAGAACAATTGTAGCTGACAGAAGAAAGAAAGTAACTTTGCACAAAGTCATGATGGAATACCTGAATATCCAGAGGCACGAAGCATTTTTGAGAGAATCGTCGAACACACAGAATCGCAATCTAGTAACAAGATGCTGACACCTAAGGAATAATCCTCAGCAGTTTCATTAGTTTCAGTTGAAAAATCATTCTCATAGATCATGATCGTTGTAATAAAAATTACAAAATTGGGAGGAAATATGATTGGTTCAAGCTGATACTGGTTTCCAAACAGAGTCCCTTATACTGAGAGAAATAGACAGACGATTGCTCCTTTAAATGCCGAAACCCAAGATCCTTCAACAATAGTACGTATTGGAAAAAAGGAAAACCGTCTCTTAAGCAGATTCAACAAGGATAGACAGTCAGCAGGAACAATTTCCTGCCAAGAGAGAGTGAATGTTGATTTCAGTGTAGAATATCACTGAAATAGACCAAGGGGCCAGAATAGCAAGAATGAATCAACAATCAGCAGGTAAGCAGACCCACTCTATACCTCGTACTCTTCACACAGTTTTTTTTATCAAGTCTAGCACTTTTGGTCTTAGAGTAAGCTATTCAACAACTCCATCTTAATAAGTACTTCGTGTAAGACCTAAATTAACAGAGTCAAAGTCAAAGCATAATTAACATTCAAAGTCTTAAACATGACTGCCATAAAAAGCAGACTGGAAAGAGACCAGGTCATCCACACAAGAATATTTGACAGTGTACCATAGTTAGCGCTTATACTTACCAAACATAACTGGCTAGAATTCAGCATTGTTTACACTTGAAGCAGAGGTACTACTTTGCTATGACCAGCCTTCATAGTCAGACACCGACACATGGAAAATCAGGAATCAGATGGGATTGGTTTACATAAGATTACTGATGATTTCTAATCCGAGAGGCAATGGCACCGAATCTCAATATCTGTTCAAAGTAACCCCATTCCAACTTGTACTTCATTTTCCTTGACTGTAGAATAGCACACCAGAGACAGCCTGTAAAAAACATTAGGTAAATGTTGTCTTGTTAGTTACACATGATCCGTTTCTTTCAAAACTTGTAAGGGCACAGGAAAGCTATTACCTTGCTACAATATCTAGATCTCTGCCGGTACATTGTGAAGAAGCAGTGTCAAGTTCTGATGAGCTAATCATCTGTTATTCACTGTTGAAGCACTGAAGGAGAAAGATACTGCCCATTGCAAAGGAAAGGCATGTAGTGATTGAGTATATGGCTTTAACTTGCACTAGTAGATCAAACTTTGAGGTATTTATAAATTACAAAAGGACCAACTACACTTTACACCACAGAGGAGGCTACTCTACTCCACTGCTCACAAAAAGCCCCTTAAGCTACTCTAGAGTCAGATGAAATGTTAATGCTCAGCTTATCTACATCCAGAAATGTCATTCTGAGAGTAAAAGTTGACAGCAGCTTTACATTACACCTTTTCATATCCTACTTAAACAGAAGGCGGCGTCTAACTGACTTTGGAAGAGGTGATGTGGAGGTGTTCTTGATTTCATTGTCATGACTTTCAGAACGATTGGCTGCGGTTCCTTGATTAGCAGAAACTTGCATTTTGCTGGACCGATAAAATTCAGTAATAGAAAGTTGGACACCTCTCGACTTCAGGTTTTCTGACTTATTACCGGATCCTCCTGTTCTAGAACGCTTTCTCTTGGATTCTTTAAGTTCCTGCCATTTGTCAGTACAAAACAACACATTAAGAAGAATCGAAAGCAATCAGATACAACAAATCGTACGATCCAAAGACCTCACAACGTGGTTGTTATTCTTTACTACATGGCCTGATTACAATGTTAACTTATTGAACTCAAAACAATAATATGACCCTATTTCAGAGACAAGTGGATATACGTGTGCAAAAGTACCCCCAATAAGAGGTTATTGATGCAATTCCCATCCTGATTCTTTGCATTCTATTTACAATTTATAAATGTACCCTGCCTTTATTAAACCTTGCAAGCATCCAGAGCCATTGGTTGACTCTCAGCAAGTGACGGTACAAAATTAGAGTAACATTAATGAAGAAATTTCCAATTAGCTTGGAACAGAGATTGGTGAAAGAATCAAACCTTTTCCAATAAGAATTTACTAACTTCGTCGGGAAATGCACCACGGACAAGTTCCATATGTTCATCTGTTAGGACAAACTGACCCTCATTATCAACATGAACCCCAGTTTCTTCCCATTCTTCCGAGCCATCAGAACTCTCATCAACAATCTCCACAATCTTGTTTTGGTCTTTATCATCAATAAGACTCAAATTGCGGTCACTGCCAATTGAGGTTCCTCCTCTCTTCCACTTCACAACCAAAGCTTTGTGTCCGTACCTGATCTTTATGCGCTGAATTGAATCAAATTCATATTGCCCATTCAGCAAAGAATTCTTCTCTGTCTGTTGTGCCATTTCTCTCAGGTAGATGGTGGACAGCATAGGAAGCAACCTCTGTCTGATATAAGAGGGTTCCCAATGCTGTCGAAACACCAAAAGGTCAACCAACATGTCAGTTTCAGGCTGCTGCCATGAAATACAGGAACCACCATCTGGTTTACACAAAAGAAAAAGGAATATCCAAGATTACAGCATTAGTCAAGCTATGACTTGGTAGTTTACATCTACATTTCACATCAAGGAAAGGCAACCAAAGATTCATAAGCTATGGAAAAAAGCATAATTCATATCCTACATAATGCACCGAAGCAGGGTGCCTGCTAGAACACAGGCCGAAAGCAACATGAAATGATAAAACTCTACATAATCCAGAGAATCATATCTCAAAAAGTTTAACATAGAAATCAGTTTGGAGAAAGTCTTGTTAGTGTCAGTTTAACACTATGATGACAGAAATGAAGGAGAATAATAATATATTTTTTTACCAGAAGGTTTACCAGTGATGTTACCGTTATCATTGCACAAATACATCTCAATTATTTCAACATTTGGGAAATTCTGCTCCCTGGCAATCTTCTCACATACTTTCATGTGCCAGTTTTCATGCCTTTTCAGCTGCTTTGCCTCTCTATCCTGCCAAGTCAAAGTTCACAAGTGATTCTCCAGCCCACTAGGATTTGATGCACATTAGATAGCCTAAAAAAACATGAGATGATAAAGCAACGTGAATGGAATGGTCTAACATACTCTATCACAGCTAGTGCATTTGCACCTAAATCCATTCAGCTTTTTCGTGCAGCCATCCCCGCCACTGGGATGACAATCCTGACAAGATGACTTTGAATGTGCTCTCTTGCTGCCAGGATGGCCACAAACTGAGCAGTGAGCAGGTCTCAACTTTGGTGAGCTGTCATCTGCAAGAAGCATGGGACTGCCTACGACTTTCGGACCCCCCTGAGGAAAAGGAGCCTTCCCACGGCCAATATCATGCAATCTACAGAGTAAAAGAAGCCATGCATAAGGCACTCTAGCATATAACACAAAATGTGGAAGTAACCTTGGAAGGACTAAAACATATATGGCATTTGGTAGTGGCCACAATCTTACTTATCTAATATCTCTTCTTCACCAAAACTTTGAACAAACCGAAGAGCATTATCAATTCCAATCCCTTGAACTCCTCTAAGATCGTGGTCATTTCCAACCAAGAGAGAAATGGCTATTAAATGTTCCCTCTTTAACCCAAGACCAGCTTCAATATCTGACATACGATAACACTCAAATGGCTCCTGCACAAAGATTCCGATATTACGAAGTTTTCTAGCTGCTGCGATAGAATTGTTTGTCATATACACAAAAATTCCAAAACGAAAGAAATTACTAGAACTCACTTTAGAATTGGGTTTGATGGATTTAATCACGCACTGAGCACCAAAGAGGAAAGCATCACTATCAGCAGTGATACAGGCATCTACATGACCCTCCCGATTCAGCTGGGCACACAACGCTTCAGCCTCGCCCTTGGCTCGAAGAACCGGCATCCCAAAGAGTTCAAGCAATTCCTAGAGAAAACCCAAAAAGTTCCATTTTATAAGCTAGAAAACAAACAGGAACTTCAGCAAGATAGAAGATAAAAGGGGAAGCAGTTAAAGACAATGAAAGTTAGAAGAGCTCACAATGCACTCCCGAACACACTTCAAAAACGCCCCGTTTCTCTCCACGGAGACACCTTCTTCAGCCACCGGCCAACGGGCAGCATCAACTCCCGAGCATCTGAAGAATCGGGCTATCCTCGCCTGAGACTTCAACGGCGAAGGAGTCCCATCGGCAACAAACACCGGGAAAGCGCCGAACTGCAATGTACCCACAATTTTCAATCGAAAATGAGAAACACCCATCTAAAGAATATGCTCCCGTGGGGGAAAAAGGGGGGGAAAGAAAGAAAAGAGAGACCTTGGAGAAGAGGTTGAGGGTCCGGAAGAAAGTAAGGCGGAGGTGAGGGTTGAGGACGTAGGTCTTGATGGCGGTCTCGTTTTGGACGATCCAGTAAGAAAGATCGACAGCGACCCGTTTGTCCCTCAGGAAATCAGGGTCTTCGTGCCTGGCGTAGGGCTTTAGCAAGTCCCAGAATTTGCCTCCGACGCCCATTTTCCAAACCCTCACTTCTCTGGTTTACTCTTCACAGTTGGGAAAAAGAAGCAGTAGAGTGATGGAGAAGATTCTGATTTCCCCTCTTTTACCGTTACCTGCCGCCGGGTCCGAGCGCAGGAAGACGAAGAGGGAGAAGTTCCGTCATCACGGTTTCCTAGGGCGCGTAATTCGTATTAACATATGGGCCGTTATATAGACGGCCTTAATAAATGGTTGGGCTTCCCCAGATCAAGTGGGCCCTTTTAGCTATTTTCCTCTTAATGGGCCTCTATAGAACTGATCAACGTATGATTATGGTTTATTTAATTTATTGGCAACAAAGGTCGATATGTCCGAGTGGTTAAGGAGACAGACTTGAAATCTGTTGGGCTACGCCCGCGCAGGTTCGAACCCTGCTGTCGACGATTTTACTTTTTTATGGTTTTTTTACACTCTGTCCTTTCTTCTGGCCAAGCTTCTCAGTTTGCGCAGTATAGACTATAGAGTAATCAAGCAAAGATTCACAGTCACCACTAGCAAACAAAACAAGCAGCAGTGGGTAATTCTGACTGCGGTCTGCTTGCCTCAATTCAGCAGCTCCCAGCCCACAAGAAATGGAAACCATAATATAATAGTATATATACTGAAATGAAAAAACAGAACGAAAAAAAGAGGAAAGATGCCTCCCACTTGGTCTGGATTTCGTACCACCACCAATCTTCATGCATAACTCATCTTCTGATCCATCCAGGAAAATCAACACAGAAACGATTTTGTCACCGGATCCGTATCTTTGATTGTATGTTTCCCCATACCCCATTGCTACAGCTCTATCTCCCCCGCCTTAACTTGCTGCTACAAACTCCTCCCATTACCCCATCAACTAAAACCTGCCCATTTGATCTCTTCATGTTTCAGGTAGATCCTCCAAATCCTTAAACCTAGCTCAGCAGATCCATCTTCCTGCTCAATCGATATCACTGAACACCAAATATGAATGGAGTATCTTAACCCAAATGGGGAAATCTCCATCCAACATTATTATAAACCCACTTGCATGCTGCTACAGAACCAGACCAGCACAGAGACAGAGACTTATGCATTCTGCGCCATAAACAAGCTAGCTAGTCATGATCCTGCACTAGTGCAATCAGCAAAGATTTAGTAGTAGTAGCCATTAACTCAGATGCATTCTAAGTCAAAAGCAGTCACACGACATACCCTTCAAAACCCAGTACGTACTAACTCAACCTCCCGCACTGTCCATAACATATATTTTATTGCCTTCTTGTCTCCCCGTGTCCCTTCCTCTTAATCAGCCAAACATTTGTCCTGTTCTGGCATCCCAGAGGAGAGAAGCATCCTCGACACTTCTTCTTCTCCTAACCTACTGTTCCTTTGCCTCCATGCTAGTAAAAAACTCACTACTCTCCTACCCGCACGAGCTACTTACCTGGAGATCCCAAATAGAAGTTACCTCCCTCTTTCTTCTCCCCGACCCATTTCTCCCTTTATAAATCCCCTCTTCCCCACTCCACTACACTTCACTGAGTTCCTCCATCAAACACCAAGTAAGTTCAATACTTCATTTCCCTCATACATCCATCAAAACCCTTTTGAGCTCTCAATCTTTCCCACGAACCCAGATTGCCTCTTCCACAACATGGGTTGTTCCGAGGACTATAACCCGGGTTCTAGGGGCAAGCATTTTGTCAAACACTTGACCTGCAGGAAGCAATTCCCACTAGCCAATGAGGGCAGACGCCCTCCAACACTGCTCAAAGATTTCCTACTCGAGGATTCCATCACCTGCTCCTCCTCTTCGGGGTTTAAATCTCTCCCCAGGATACAGCCCGACGGACCTAAAAAGATACTCACACCTCAAACATCCAAATCGACCGTCTCGACGCTTCGCGCCATGATCAACGCCGTCAAGAGCATCCAATTCGTGAAAAATCCTCCCTCAATTCTGCCCCGAAGCCTCTCCCGCAGGCTGCTGTCCAGGAAAACCACCAGCAGCACGAAACAGGACAGTTTCCAGATCGCGTCGGTGAGAATTGCCGTCACGGTCAAAGACATCATACGGTGGAAATCTTTCCGCGACCTGCAGCAGGAGGAAGAGGAAGCGCGCGAATTAAGTACTCCTCACTGCTCCATCGACGACACAACGGAGACGGCGTCGAGCAGCGGCAGCAAGGGATCGAGCTGGTGCGACAGCGATTTCAGCTCCGAGTGGTGGTGGCAGGGTGAATCGGGAGATTTCAGTGGCAAGAAGTTTGGCAACTTTTTACCGGGTGTCGGCGGCGGGAATTTTGTGGAAGAGACAGCAGGGGAAAACGCCAAATGGGCTGAAGGAGTGGGCCAGCCTGAGGTGAGGCCCATTCTGCTATTATTATTATTATTATTATTATTATTATTATTATTATATTCTAGTGGTCTAGTATTAAGTATTAACTATCATTATTATATGCTACATCCGCATCTTTGGTGTGTCTGTCGGTGAGATTTTACTGTTTTCTTTAATTTATAATCGCACGGTGGAGGTTTGTCGTGTAGCTGGGTGCTCTTTAGTTGACCTTTTCAAATCGGGCCCAGCTGTATATAAATGTCATTTCTTACTGTGTGTAATTTGTAACTTGTTTTATTAATTAATCTTGAAATTAATTCACTAAACAGGAAGCGGCAAGTGACGATGACGTCACCTGGATGTCATCCGCCGACGATCAAAGTGAAACCACCAGCAGCAGCCCAGAAGAAGATCACAAGACCGATGACGACGAGGACGCCACATCTGCTGCAAGTTATGAAGAAGAAGAAGAAGAAGAAGAGGGAGCTTTCCACAAGGCGTGGCAATTGCTAGATCGCGTCCGCGCTGGCAGTGGGAAGCATTGGCGGTCTCATGAAGAGCAACTGCTGTTGGATTTCTTCATGGACGAATTAATGGCGATGAGCAGCAGAGATAACAACGCGTGGAAGCAAGATGGCGGGAAAATTGCGATTATTAACGGTGATGCAGAAAAAGAAGAGGAGGAGGAGGAGGAGGAGGAGGAGATGGTGATCGCCAAAGCGAGGGCTTGGATTGATGAGGATAGAGAGGTGATTAATTGGATGAATGAATCAGTTGCTGGAAGCAAGAAGAGGGATGCTTGCATTCAGGCCATGGACAAGGAAGGAAATTGGAGCAAATTTGGAAGAGGAGGAGAAGGAAAGGAAGTGGGCTTGGAGATTGAGGATGGGCTTTTTGATGATTTGATTAATGGGCTAGTGGCCGATATCTTAATAGTATGAAGAGTACTAGTTAGCAACACTTAGCAGCATTCACTAAGTGGATAAGGTTGTAAATTTTAGTAGACTTCGGGCTTTTTGTTTTGGGCTAGAAGATATGTGGGCTCTGTGGGAGATGTGGGCTATGAGAGATGTGAGGTGGAGCCTTGAGATTTAAGTAAACAGTTTGGAATGTGGACTGTGGAGAGTGGGGTTGGGCATATTTTTCGGTTGTTCGATCGGTTTCGTAATTCGAAATCTGGTACGGTCGATGAGATCCTAATTTTCGAATTTATGTCTATTTCTCTTCTGAATTCCGATCCGATTATTCGAGTTCCGTCAATTCACTTTTGGTTTGGTTAAGTTAAAAAAAAATTCAAACCTGAATCGGATGCCCATCACTACGTGAAGGGAGGAGGATGCGATTTTCTTCTCGACGGAGGATGGTATTTCGGTATATACCGATCCCAATCCCGTAATTTTTAATACCTAATAACAATTAAAAGTCAATCCCAATTCCAATACCACAAAATAATACGTGTATTCAGTAATACCAAATATAGACAAATTCGATACGGTATTCGATATATCCCACATACCGGTACCAAACTTCCAGCCCTACTCCACGGTCCTCCCAAACCTAGTCATTGGACTTCCCTAACCTAACTGCTGGAAACTGCCACGTCACCAGAAAGGCTTTAATCGGACGGGGCGTATTGAGCGAAACAGATGTACATCCGGCCGCAGGGGATAAAGGCCAAGCCGAAATATTATTATTTTTTCTGGGAGTCGCATAAAAGTTCGTTTTCCCGGTAAAAAACGTCCATAGAAAATCTCGCCTAATTGAAGGCAAACAAGGTTAGGCACTGCACTCATTCAGCTCCCTTCCTCCTTCACTCGCCCAGCAATAAGTAGCACAGAGAGCGGCAGAGAGACGGTCTCCCCTTCCTCTATAAACTTAAACCCCCAGATTCCCCATTCAGTCTTCCCTTCTTTCCGCCATTTCTTACGCTTACTCTTTAATGACAGAGGAGGAGAAGGGATGGATGATGGTTAACGTAATCTAGCCGATACCCGTTTCCCCATGTCAAGTCAAATTCCGCTGGCCGAGTTGCCCATCATCGTCCCCTCTGCTCTTTCTTAGCACCCCCACCTTCTTGTTATTAGTTATTCCTTCCGTTCATTCTGCGAGTTCTTGGGGAAATCACAGAGAGAGAGAAAGAGAGAGAGAGAGAGAAGATGAAGAATGAACAGCAGGCTCGGTCTCTGTTCGGGATTTCTCTCACCGACCTACCCAGATGGAAGCAGTTTCTGATTTGCTCTTCTGGGTTTTTCTTCGGCTACCTTGTCAATGGCATCTGTGAGGTACTCTCTCTGCCTTCACTCTCTTTTGTATTCTTTGTGTTTACTTTACAGGCCCTTGTTCATGCTCTGTTTTTTGTTATGGGTGGAGTTTCCACCTTGCTTGGGTTTCTTAATCATCACCCAATCTGTGAACCCTTCTCTGATTATTAGTTCCCCAGAGATCAGGCCGGGTTTGTTTGGAATTTCATTTTCAGCATTTTGGTTCAATTCAACCCCAGAACTTTAAAATCGGAGAGGAGTCTTCGAAAATGGCTGTGCATTACTGATTTCCTGTCGTCTTCTGAGGATACTATTTGAGATTTTTGCTCTGGTGACGTGGCTTTCCCCCCTGGATAATTGTTATTCGGTTCCTTGATTCGGGACCATAACAACATCCAAATCCTTCGCTTCCTCTTCCCTTCCTTTATGAATAACTGACCGGATTAGCTGACGTCGTTTTTTTTTTTTGGATTGAACTGCAGGAATATGTGTACAACAGGCTCCAGTTTAGGTGAGCGCTAGTGAAATGAAATTCTTTACTGATATACTTATTTTGGCTGGGTTCTCATAAATTTTCCTCCTCTTTCCAGCTACGGATGGTACTTCACATTTATCCAGAGCTCCGTGTATGTTGTCATGATATACATCCAAGGCTTCACGCCCAAACAAATGGTGAACCCATGGAAGACTTATGTGAAGCTCTCTGCTGTCCTCATGAGCTCCCATGGACTCACCAAGGGATCTCTCGCTTTCCTCAACTACCCTGCACAGATCATGTTCAAGTCCACCAAGGTAACAGAGAGAGAGACTTCCTTTAACCGAAAGAACAATATAAAGAGAAAGACGACAGAAGAATCTGAAGAGTGTTTTTGGTGGTGCTCTTTTTTTCTGCAGGTCCTGCCAGTGATGGTGATGGGTGCATTCATACCGGGTCTGAGGAGGAAATACCCAGCCCATGAGTACATATCTGCACTGCTTTTGGTGGTGGGGCTGATCCTCTTCACCTTGGCGGACGCCAGAACGTCTCCAAACTTCAGCGCGGTTGGCGTCGTGATGATCTCTGGCGCCTTGGTCATGGATTCCTTTCTTGGGAACTTGCAGGAAGCCATCTTCACCATGAATCCTGAAACCACCCAGGTAAAGAAAACAAGAAAAGGGAATCAAGGGGACCCACTGACACTTATGTTTGTCGTTTACCCTCCACTGCTAATTTCAGCGTGGAGGGTTTTTAGTTTTTACGTTACTGATACTTGCTTTGCTTGCAACTTTTTTTCTTTCCTTTTTTCATCCATTGTTTGCTGCAGATGGAGATGTTGTTCTGCTCGAGCATAGTGGGCTTGCCTTTCTTGATCCCTCCCATGCTTTTGACAGGAGAACTCTTCAGAGCATGGACCTCGTGTTCGCAGGTGCAACCTTATCATTTTGGCTTATTGGCCGTTTTCCTTTTTTTCCTTAAGTTAAACTCACTGTACTAACTTGTATGTATGTGTTGTTCTTGTTTCTTTTTGGGAGAGCAGCACCCATACGTGTACGGAGTGTTGGTGTTTGAAGCCATGGCAACATTTATTGGGCAAGTCTCAGTGCTATCCCTCATTGCCCTTTTCGGTGCTGCCACCACAGCCATGGTACGCTCCTCCTCCTCCTTCACCACCACACTGTTAATGCTCATTCACTTGACAGTGCCCACATTCAATGTCTCTGTTTTTACTCTGTACTTTGCTGGAACAAAGTCACATAACATCACAAGATTGATTGGCTTTGTTTGAATGGATGAGGGGGAGCCTTAGCCTTAGCCTTAGCCTAGCTCAATTGAATGATTTGTGCCCAACTTTTCTTTGTTCTTCAATTCGACTGCCAGGTAACAACGGCAAGGAAAGCGGTGACTTTACTGCTGTCCTACTTGATATTCACCAAGCCATTAACAGAGCAACATGGGACTGGGCTCCTCTTAATTGCCATGGGGATTACTATTAAGCTGCTGCCTGATCAGGGTCCTAATCCGAATTACAAGAGGATTCCTTCTTCTTCTTCTTCTTCTCGGACTTCAACTGGTGGAGAAACCAGAATTGAGATGCAGGAAGACAAAGATGGCGGTGTAGAGACGAGGCCTTTGGTTTAAGACTCGAGATGGGGAAGAAAAAAAAGGAAATTGTCTATTTAATAAGCGCTTTCTGATTATAGGGGAAATTTCAACTGAATACTACTTAGTTGGGTATAAGGTTTTTTCTTTTTTAATTTCATTGGCAAATGTATCAAATCGCTAATTCCACCCTCTTAGCTTACTCCCTTAATCGATCATTCCTTGCAAATTGGATTTAGCATGAGAGGGATCTGTAATATTACTTTAGTAGTTATTTCATCTTTAATATTATCTATTATGAAATTCATGAGTTATAGAAAGAATATGAATGTTACATTTGTTTGGAGACCTCAAGCTTTTTGGTAAGGTCGATGTATTACAATTTCCCCATTAAATACAAATTTGAAACCCCAAAAAAATAATATGAAACTGGCCAGTTTCTATGGGGTTACTTCATCCAACCAAAATAAAGAAAAAGTTAAACGGAAGAAAAGAAGAAATAAATGGAACAACCTCTCACACACATTCCGTAGAAAACTAGAAATAAGTCAATAACCATTTGATTTCCATGTGTTAAAAGCGGCGAACACACAGAAAATGACAGCCGCGGAAAATAACATGGACGCCGAAGTAGAAACACCAACAACATCGTCGATAAATGAGGAAAAGGAGGGATCAGAGGTCGTAACCATAGCCTCCGCTCGTCGGCGGTGGAAGCTGCAATGGCAGAAGTTGTGCACTAATACTCCTCCTCCCCTTAAATTGGTTTTGTTCCAGTCAACTATTAGGGTAAGCAGGTATTTTCTATTGAAACGATATCGGTTCACCTCATTTTTTAAAGGTTTAAAGATGATAAATAGTTTATTGAGATTCTTAGGATAACTCTCGAGTTATTATCGTATTTTTTTTACCATTTTTATTTTTAGTTGATTATTATTTGGACAATTATCGGTTTAATCGACCGTCAATTATCAATTAAATCAATAATCATTACAAACGTGATAGGTAGGTTGGCAGATGTGAACTTTGGGTTGTTGGTTGACAAGGGTGCAAGTGACTGGTCTAACCAACGGTCTGTGGGCTATCCACTACTAATCGGCTAAACTTGAGGTTAACCAAAAGCCAAAATGACAACGAAGCAACACAATAATCTCATCCTTGTAGGAGAAGTTGTCATATTTTAGTCAGGAAAGGGAACAAGGGTGACCAAACAAGGGTGGGAAGGAGAAGGAATTTTGTGGTTTTATGTGCCTATAATTATGTACTTGCTCATTAGCTTAATGTCATTGAAGGTAGGAACTCAAAATATTAGCTTGTTGTCTTTCTTTTATTATAGTTTATCGTAGTTTCGTTCAATTATACCGTATGAGAGTTCGAGACGCCATTCCGTCAATTTTGTGTCTCGTAACATGCATTTTCCCATTTTTCTAGATTACTCTCATCTTTGATCTTTTATCAATCTCTTGTTATTTCCATATAAAAATGCAAATAGTCTTGTTAGTTCGTTTCTTAGCTTCCAATTCATTGAATTAAAAGTTATAGAGAACAAGAAATTGAGATACCACAATCTCCTCCATTATCACTATCCCAACTCTAACTCTAGACAAACTCAAGAGTTTTGCCTAATCTCTAAGCACCCAATAAACATCTGTGATGAAACCATTCAATAGAGGATTTGGCTGAATCCATTTAGTATTAATTTTGATTAGTTCTTACAAGACCTTTTCCACCTCAACTTTCCATCAGTACTATTTTCAAACAAGAAATTCAACCATGTGTACACCGCATAGAAAATCCTAGGAAGGGGTGTATGAATCACTATTTAAAAATTTAATTATTAGTTAACAGAGAATTACTTATATATGAAAATATAGATACCTTATAAATTTTTTGACAGTATAAAATTTTTTTACCGTGAAAATCGAATTTATTTTAAGATGACGATTGAGTTTAAGATATTGATTGATATTTAGTATCAGGATAGAGATATATGATCGCGTGTAGTACATGGACCCAAATTTATCAGGCCTTAAAGGCCATGATCGTATTTTCTTAGGGTGTCTTACAACTACTTATTCAGACGGTGAGAGATGAGTTCTATGGTGATTTAAAATGAATGTGGAGGTTGAGGTTTCTTTCGGGTTAAAGTTTCCCTTGGTTTTATAGAATTCTACAGTAAGTTGCGGGGTCGTTTGGAAGTTGCGATTGTTTTTATTAGATTGTAATTATACTTGTATTGATTAGAATGCATCATTTTTATTTTTTAACAGACAAAATACATAGATTGTTTATGTGATGTGAGAGAAACTATCACTCAAAATGAGTGATTGTTATATCTCAACTTTAAGTTGAGATTGTTGAGATTATTTTGTCTCAACTTTAAGTTGATTTGACATGCACAATTACACATACCAAACGTTGTATTTATTTTACAATGCCTCAAATTCATCAATACATGTATAATATTATACTTGTATTAACAACAATACATCTGTTAAACAATCACAACTTTCATACGCCTCCTGTGATTCAGAAAAGGAAATCTACAGCTAGTGTGCTTGTAGGAAGCAGGAGGACAAAGCTTTGCACATGCAAAGCCCTCCCTAGAGTTCCTTGACTAGTCTCTTGATCTTGTCAAGTATGAGTTGCTTTATTCTTATGTGATCTTATACTACCTTGTGCCAAGGCTTCTTGGCTAGGTCTATAAGGCAACAAGTACCCTTCGGCTCTCTCCCTTGAGGCGTCAATCTGGTTGATCGAATCGAGAGTTGATCGTGTCATCTCCGATCTTGATCTATGTGACTAGGATTTTGATGCTTGCACCACGAAGGGATGCAAGCTCGACTTAGGAAATCATTCGATCATACAAAAGACAACATGAAGGAATCAAATACAAAAGATAGAAAGAATAGCGCAAATCATATTGTGCCAAAATCGAGAATACAAAGTCAAGAACCTCTAGGATTCACAAACTCACGCAACGAATGGGACTAGTTGGCCATGGGAACGAGATCCATGAGATTCACAATTCGAAATGAAGACACCACAGAGTCGTGAATCCGGCTGCTCAAGTCGTGAATCATGGTCACGACGACTGGTGAGGCGAGCCAGGAGGCGATTGATGAGGGCTGGAAGCCTGACTAAAGTCGTGGTAGAGTCGATAGTGAGCTTCATCGTCGTGGCTCGCCAAGTTAGAGTTGGGAAGTGAGAAGTTGAGAATTGAGATGAGAACTCTCAAAGGGAGTTGCAACTGCAGAATTGTCTAAGGAGACAGAGTGTGCGGATTGTAGAATTGCCTAACACTATTTAGGGTTTAGAATCGTTAGGTAGGTCTTGCAGGATTGTAGGTTGACAAGGCAGGGTTGTGGGCTAGCCATATGGGTGGGCAATGGTTTGGTCCCGAACCACACCAGATCGAGTTGATGTGCCGGACCACATCAAATCGAATATAATATGATCCGGTTTTTGGTCCTATGAATTTTAAAAATAATGAAGAAAAATGGACCGAATTTACATTTGGACCAAACCAAATGGACCAAAGCTGACCGAATGCATTATTGGTCCGGTCCGTATTCCTAAGATATCCTTCATTATTGAACCGCGATTCTCCTGAGTTTGATCCGGTCCGGATTTATATTGGCGCTGATCGGCCAGTGCCTAATACAGTAATAAGCCAGCTTGACCTTGATTCACACTTCCCACAGCACAGATCATTATCCGAAATCAACCGCTGAGATCAAATTTGTCTGCGCAGTTGAAGTCGTACTGCTTCTCGTTGGCTGGAAAATAATTAATTGCCCTTCATCGAAGTCTCAAATCAATCGTTGTCACTCGCTTCTCAGTTCTCAGTGCTCTCACCTCTTCTCCGTCAAAACATGGATTCACCACCTTTATGATTAGCGACAAAGGATTCACCTTGTCCCTGATTCCTCTTCTGGGCTCGTCTCAAAACTGGTCGTTTATTGAGCGGTGACGGCAGCCGGCGAGGTCAATTTAGGCGGGTTGAGGGCGAGCTTGCGTATTTCAATTCAGGAAACGCAGCTCTGAGTTTCCGATCCGCAGTTATGGAGGCGTATAAGAATTGGGTGCGGAGGAATAGAGATTACGTTAACTCGCTGGAGTCTCTCGCCAGTGTAAGCAAGCGAAGCCCAATTCCCCCATTTGCTCACAATTCTTCTTTTCTTTCCCCCTCTCTTCTTCTGTGCATGAATAGTTAGTTGTTTGTGCTGGCTTCGCTTTCTTGGTTTTTGCTATTGTCAATTCTAACTTGAGAGCGAAGGAAACTTCCGAGGTTCTGACCTTGGCACTTGTATACTGGATTTGATTGGTTTTCTCGGAAACCATTTCTTTAACCAAAATGTTGAGCAAGAGTTTGCGTCGAAGAAGCCTGCCCCGACTGCAATTTTTGCAGTTAGGTTCTCTACTTATTTAGTTTGGTTCGACAAATGGGGAAGTCGATCATCGATGAAAGAAAGAAGGTGATTCCTGCACTGTAGATAGATAGAATTGGGTCCGATGATGGAGAGTTAGGAGTAACGGGTTCTCCTAAGCAAAGCTGGAGAATAGCTTATGCCCCTAACCGATTTAGTTATATATTTACACTCTTTGTGCAATATACTTCAGTAATTATTTGCAAGGTTCTAAAAACCGCGCCTAGGCACACGCCTAACCGTGGCAATTTTGGATCTGTCTTACAGGGACTGACGTGGCTTCTGCCTGAAAGGTTTTCTGAGTCAGAGATTGGACCAGAAGCAGGTTTTTCGAAACTTTTTGTCTAATTTTGCTTATTCTGAAAGCATATATGTTTGTTCTTGGAGGTCCTTTTGCATAAGCTTGCGATGAACCAAAGTTGAACATGTGGCCTGCATTGAACATTTATTTATATCATTTTCAGTTACTGCGGTTTTGGGTGTGATTACTGCAATCAATGAGCACATAATTGATACAACTCCAAGAAGCCAGACACCTACCGTAGCAATAGAGCCTCACTCTTTTCCTTATCCGCTATGCATATCCATGATAAAGGAACTGGAGACATTGGTTGAAGTTGCTGCACAACAATACTTTGGCGATGATAAAAAATGGAACTTCATTGCTCTTGCAGAAGCAGCAAAGTAAGTAGGCTGCATTTCTTGGTCTAGTTTTCTGAACCATTTGAGTCTGGTCATCATTCAATAACATGAGAGTTTTATGGCCCAGGGTGATAGTTAGGTTGGCATCGTTTAGGAACAGTGGATTTCGGATGCTTTTACAAGGAGGAGAGACACCAAATGTTGAAAATTCACCAAGTCCATCAAAGCTTGGGAATCATCATGAGCCTGACCATTTTCTGAATATGAATGGAAGAACCCAATGGAATATGGAAGGCAAGGCCTTGTCTGCACTGAGTAGATTCCGAGAAAATGCCAGGAGGAGTGCTGACCCAGAGTGGTTACACAGGGTTCAGCATCAACATCCTGTCGTGGAGCCTCCAGGTTAATTTCCTTAAAATTATAATGTGCCTATTGGAAGATCCCTTTTCAGCCATCATAGTTGTTTTCTGTAAGTTTGATCTGAACTGCTTTGCCTTCTGTCATCTTCTTTCCATTGTCTTTTATAGCTGCTGTGGTTCAACGGCCAACACTCTCGAAGATATTGAATGAGAGAGGCGTTTCTGGGTTATTATTTGTTCTAGGGGAGGCGCTGTTCATTACAAGACCCCTTATCTATGTATTAATAATCAGGAAATACGGAGTTCGTTCATGGGTTCCTTGGTTTCTTTCTCTAGCTATTGACTTTGTTGGGGTAGGTTGTCTAACGCCACTGTCAACATTGCGGTTTGGAGGAAGGGAGGAACAGTGTCAATTTACTGATTCTGAAAAGCATGAGGTTAGAATATGTCTTCGTTTCATTCTCGGACCTATAGAAGTACCCCTGTGGCTCATTAACTCCTGGGTTGAAGTTGGCAATTTGCTAGTAATGGTCAGACTAATTGATACTTTTATGGTTGAATCAGCTTAAGAGAAGAAAACTGTTATGGGCACTTTACTTGATGAGAGATCCCTTCTTTAGCACGTATACAAGGTACCCATTTTATTCTAATGGTTTGCAGGTGTGTTATTCTTGTGATTGCTAGTTGTATAACAGAATACTGCATTATTGTTTATCATCCCCAGAGGAAAACTGGAAAGCACTGAGAAGATAATGGAGCCTGTACCTCTAGTCGGGATTCTTACAGGTGAGCTAAACTGTACAGTATAGTAGCCTATTGCCTTTCTGGCAACAGAGCTTACAAAAAAACAATGGTTTACTTGTGCTTGGACTGATTGCACATTGTAATTGTGTTCTGCATGCGCAGAAAAACTCGTTGAGCTTCTATCCGGAGCCCAAACTCGATACACGTACATGTCCGGGTCATGAGACGGAGTTCAAACTGGAAGAAGTCGAATTTATCGAAGGGAGAATTTGTGGTTGAAGTTTCCCCATCTTGTCTATCTATATATTGGTCATGGATTCTTCTGCAAAGTGCAATGTCTGGGTGGGTGAACAAGAGCAGAAGTCTGGTGACCAAGCTGAGACGATGGATGTTGGCATGTTACACACTCGCAACGAAACGGTTTGAGCTGAAGGGTTTGCTTTGCTTTGAAGGTTTGAGAGTGTCAGCTGAGCTATCTACACCATTACCAGAGTCCCATGCCCCATAATACAAGTTGATATCACTGATGCATCAAACACCAAAACTCTGACAGCCTTTATGGTTGAACATTAGGCTGCACAACTCGGGGGCAAAATTAGGGATGTAAAGGCTAAAATGATTTTATTAGTGTTCGTCATCAACAATCACTCAACTTATCCACATAATGCTTTGATGAGTATCCGTCATTTCTCTTTTACCTCTCCACAATGGATGTTACCAAACCCACCAAAACATAAAACCACTGACTTATCACTCCTAACCTTCAATGTGGTTAAAATTTCTAAAATAATTGTCCAAGAAAATTATAATCTGACTAGATTTTATCATTATTAAAAGTGTGACTATAATTGTCAGAGTAAAAAAATTGGCTATACATGGATTTCATCTTTAAAAAAAATTCACACTACAAAAAACTCAGACGAAGAAGAGAGATTTGAAGGGCATGGGCCTCAGAAAAGGGGAACCAGAACTCTCTTCCACGACGCAGAACCTGTAGACACCGACTCCCTCTACCTACAATTTAAGAGTGCTGGAAAAGCCCACCCATTCCACATTCAAAATCAAACGGTCTCTCTTCAGAAAAACTCAAATGGTCAGATTCTCCTGAATGGCAATGAATGAACCTACGATATTACCACCTACATCTGGGAAAGTTTCACAACCAGGGAGAGGCTTCACCTTGCCCGACCTTTCCACCTCAACTGGGTACTTCATCAAATGCCCTCTCATCTCTGTTACCTCATCATCCACAAACTGTTTCCAGTTTAACTCCGCCATGGACCGAACCCTTCTCACACAATCAAGACTCTCTGGCTGCGTGAAGCAGTCCTCAACTGTTGCAAGATGCTCTGCCCACAGAGACATCCTGTACCCGTGTATCTGCAATAAAAAAAAAGAGAGCAGCCAGAAATCAACTCAGGTTCCAAGCACACTCTAGGACCAATGCTTTGCTTCTTTGTTTTTTTTTTTCCAAGACAGGAACTTTCTCATCCAAGCGCTTCATATTATACCTGTCCAAGTGGGTTTCGTTGTTTTCTTGCCCAAGTATGTTGAGGTTGATATGCTCCCATTGCAATCTCTGTATCTCTGCTGCCCTCCATCGAACGTTGATTTATGTTTGCAGAACCCAGGATCACATACTCATCGTCAACTATCATCCCTTTCGAATGAACATAAATCATGAACCTCCGGCTCTTTCGAGAAAGCAACTGGAAGTGCCATAAAATGAAACAAACTCAAATCAACTTCATGAGTGCAGCAGAAGCCATTGCTTTGAATTCGAAGGTTTATCTTGTAAGCAAATGGTTCCAGTAATCAAGAGCAGAGGTAGAAAGAGAAAAATATACCTGAGGAGAATTTGCAGCATGAGGACTCGATAAAACTGCAGAGTCATTGGGGTTGATGGCCTCACGATTCCCAAGACAGAAGAAGTTCAAATAATCTGTAGGTGAGAATGCATCCTCCAAACCAGCCTCCACCAAAGCCTTGGAAATTGTCTCGTACATCATTTGCATGGTTTTATGCTACATAAGTTTTACAAAATTTTAGGACACATTTAACTGGCTCTCATTTACTTTAGAAACTGAAAGAAAGCCAAATTGCTTAATTCCTAATGGTGCAGTAGCCAGTTCCTTCTACTATTCCAGAAATTCCTAAAGCTGTTTGCATAATGAAAGAGCTATTACCTGCCAAAAAAGAATTCTTTGGGTAGCAGCACCGGTTGGAACTCCTTCTGGCCACATTGGAATGACAATGTAGGCAGCAAATCTCTCATGTGCTTTAATTTTATCGGCAATTTTCAATGCGATTTCCATTGGGATTAAGTTATTAGCACCTGCAAGAATATAGTAGAATCACAAACATCTTCACATCAGTCTTGAATTTATTACAGCAAGGACCACCTATTAAGAATAACCAATCTCACACTGACTAAGTTCCTTACCTAAATCTTTATATGAACTCCAGTTGTACGAAGACCCAATGAAATACTGGTTCTCGATGTATATGAAGTGCTGGGCAGCGCGGATAGCTTTCACGTATGCTGTGTGGATGCTCATATCAATCAATACATTCTTTCCACACATCAGATTCTGGTACAGTAGAGAATAATCAATAAGCTTGGACAATAAAAGATTTGATGGTAGAAACCAAGAAACTCAAACACGGTTTCTTTTAGAAGGTTTTCTCACCTTCGGCGTCGCATCTTTCGGATCCTTTGGGAAGCCTCTAACAGAATTTGAGTCAATTGAACGAAAGATCTGCATCCAACAAGCAAAATAAGATTTACTTTGTTCTCTCTCTCACAAAAGACAAACAGCATAAACATCCTAAAGTTTCACCTTCACTACTTATTGCCACTCAAAGACATCACTAAATTACCTGGACATGCCAAGTTTCTGGATCATTCTCACCCACACAAGGAGCATCAGAAGCTGCCACTATATCAGGAATCCTGTCTATCCTTAATAAAGCATCATCATATGAAGTTTTCAGCTTTTTCAGTCCACGGGGTTTGGCAGCCTTGAACCAGCGCTCTTCGAAGTTGGTGAGAACATCATATGCCGCTGGACCGTCAATTCTACTGTGCAAGTCATGCCATGGTTCTCTCGGGCAGCCAGAAACACTTCCCTATTTAGCATTGAGTAGTCAATTCACAGCTCAATTTTAACACTCAGAAAGACTCACTTTTCAATTTTCATAAATGACCCTGTGCAGGAAACTCATCCTGAAATATACTGCGGTTAAAAGCCGTGTAACTACATATTCTGTTGACCACTAAAAGCATACCGTGAAAGTAGGGTTGTGATAGTCATCTTTATGGACAGTCTCGAGTGTCCTAAATAATGGGTGATGGGGAGTGTCATATCGGCCATCACATAGATCAAGGCCACCAACAAATGCCATGATTTTTCTCCTATTATAGCCAGCATCAGTATCTACGATTACGGTCTTCTGATGGTGCGTATAGATAGTTTCAACTTCCTGATATAGAAAAGACATTTACATGGTCAGATATTTGCAGATCAAACATGTGAAACCTGATTAAAACAAATCCTGTGCAGGATTGTTTCTTGTAAGGTGCATTTTATATGAAAAAGGAAAAGGAAATAACTTCAAGTTAAGTTCCAGAGGAACTTATGGGAACAGCAAGAAAGGATGCAAAATTCACTTCCAATTTTCTGTCTTCTACAACTCGCAAGCAACCTCATACAAAAGATAAGAAGTTGAACATGGAAAATTACCAACAGGAAAAATCATACAGACTAAATAACAGTCAGTTCATCAGATAATACCCATTAATTGAGCGTATTCTCAATCCATTGGACTATTTTTGTTGTCTGCCCATTACCAAAAGGCATGTGGAACTGAACTAGATAATGCTTGTGTAGCCTCCTTGTACCAATCAGATCGTTTTTACCAAAAGGATAGCCATCAGCTTTGGTAAAGCAGCATTAATGCATTGGAATCCATACATCTGAAAGTTTACTCCAGTTACTATTACTCACCCTCTGCTTGACCCAGCTATGTTTCTTCCCAGCAATGCGGGGGCAAAGCAATACCTGCACCGATGAGTGTTTAAAGAAACGCCGTGTTTCCTCATCATGCGTTGCCATAATTCCATCCTGCATAGAACAAATTTCAAAGAGGTTTAGCAGAGAAACCTGGAACCTTAGAAGCTGAAAAATGGAAGGATTTGAATGAGATAGCAGGGCAATATCCTCAATTGAATCGACCATTCAGTAACCATTCCGAACTAATTACAAACAAGCACATGTGGCAGGATAAATTCGGAACCAAGAAGTACAACACTCAGCATTTCTTACTGTTCTGTATCCCAAAATACTCCTTGATGTAGGGTCATCCCAAACAAGAAGCAGAACTCTTACTCCCTCCTGGGACTTGGATCGGAGAAGCTCCCCCAAGGAACTATCAAAAGGACAAGCAGCATCCCTGATAAGTCTAACTTTGTGCCACACTGACCACCCAGTAATATAGACCAAACGCTTAGCCTGTCGTATTGCATCAAAGATATCTCGCCAGCACTGACCATGCACATAGGACATCCCATTATCAAGGTTCAGATTCGGAAGAAACCCATCCGGTACATGTGCGTCTTGATAAAGTGTCACTCTTCCACCTTTCCTTAGAGGAAAATATGTGCCTGGAACCCCTTGATAATCAGGACCAGCCCCAACACCATGATGGTAAATGCTCAACCTTTCCATGGGTATGTACTGAATCGAAATTCTTAGCATAGCACCAGGTTTGCATGGTTTTCGACTGCTGTTGAGAATCGGGTAAATACCTTCAATTTTGGACCCTGAATATATTTGCTCCACTGGGATTGAGACAGCTCCTATCAATTGTGAACCAACCACATCACTGTCTTTTACCACAAAGTGCACTTCAGCAGCATGATGTGCAACAGGAACATAAAAATGTTGGCACCAAATAGGATTTTCACTATTGCTAAGCACATAAGTTCTTCCCAGAACAGCACGCCCTACTGAGATCGAGACATAAGGATCACTAGTAATCTTGTCACTCACTTGTCCTTCTATTTTGTTGCTTAAATTTGCAGGGAACTTATTCAGCATATCCCCCAATGTCTTGTGAAACATGTCCATGTTTGGAAGCTTCTGGGCATCATAAACCCAAATATCCAGATTCCCATGCAGCAACAAAACCCTCAAGGACCCTTTAGTACCAAATGGGACAATTTGGAGGGATGTGCCTTGTGGTGAACCATCAAATGAAGGCGAATGCACATGAGCAGAAGGCGAAGCCGTAGCATAAGGTGAAGCAGAACCAAAAGAATCTACGTGGCCCAAATAGGCTCCTTCATAGTGACTTGAAAAGGAGTCATTAGGATAACCATAGAATCCTGCTTCCTGCCTATAATATCCCATACTGGAAGTTTGATGGCTGAGTGAAGGAGAGCCGGGCAATGCTGGAATTAAAGATGATGCAGGTGATGCAGGGGCGGAAGGACGAGCTTCGTGGTCATTCAGATGCACATTACTCAACATGTCATCCAGAGGTGGGTAGGGTGAATACGACGAATTTGAACTGGGAGTATCACAAAGATTGTCCTGATGAACGGAGGATCCAGTCCCCAAAGGAGGACAGCTCTCATGTCTACCATGTCCAGGGAAGCTACTCCCTCCATGGGTTGAAATTGCTGGAAGATGAGGGTAATAGTAAGATGCAGAGGAACCATGTTGGAAGCTGCTTTGATGCTGGAGATGAGGATTGGAAAACTGTGGAGACTGATGATGGTTCGGGGGATAATGATGTTGATACTCCAATGGCGTGAAAGGAGTGGTTGAATTCGGTGGCATTTCAGAAGTAGGCGGCGGCGGAGGAGCTGAAGGATAAGCATCTGGCGGGGGATGCGAGGGATAGGAGGTCGCCGGAGCTGGATATGCAGACGGCGGAGGGTAGCCGTAAGATGGAGGGTACGGATAAGGGTAAGGTTGATGATTATAGGAGGTATGTGGATCTAAATTGGGAGGTGGGTATTGATAATTCGGGGGAGGAGGGTTTCCCGGCGGAGGCTGGTGGTAAGGATACGGGTAAGAATTGTTATATGGGTATTGAGCTGAGGAACCATTATGATCCATTGAAGATCAGAAGCTTTGAAGAAAAATGTGTGATCTTTCCCAATTGTTCGTTGTTTCTCGCAAATGACCTAACCCTATGGGGATCAGGAATTGGAGACGCGAGGAAAGGGATCAAAGAATTACCTCGACGAGGCAGCAGAGCAACTGGGATATGTTTCTGGGGACACACACAATAACCCAAAAACAGGAATAACAGGAGAACTATCGTATCAGAGTGGATTTTCCTTTACCGCGTAAAGCACCGCGTCATAAAAGAAAAAATGACGACTTTGCTTTCCCGGTTTCTCAGGCTCTTCTTCTTCTTCTTCTTCTTCGCTTCGTCAAATCCAAGCCAGTGAGGGAGGGCAAGAATGGAGGTAGAAGGCGGTTAGTTCGCCGGTCAAGTATTATTGGTTCCACGTGGATACCAGGCAGTGGCCGACGTGTATCCGACCTTGCCCTTTTTTTCTATTTTCTTCATTTAATACTTAATACTCTAGTTTGGCACCAAATTTGGCATAAATTTAAGTTTTAGTCCGAATTTCGAATAAGATAGTTGCGGCCTACTTTTTAAATTGTTGGATAGATTTGGTCAAATGTTTGGATTGACCATTAAAAATTATGGTCTGATGGTCAAACATTTATTCCATCAGCGACTAAACATTTAGTGTTGAGGTGGCATCGACATGGTTGCCACGTCATTTCCACCTAATTTATTTATATATAAAAAAAATGAAAATAAAAAATAAATATTTGAAGAAATAAAGGAGTAGGGATGGCAATTGGGCGGGTTTGCCTAAACCATCCCCATCGCCGCTTTCAAATATCCAAACCCATACCCGCTCCATACCCATGCAGGGAAAGATTTTGTAAACCATACACATACCCATGGGTTTCGGGTACCCATGGGTAATACTCGCCCCGTACATCCAACATTATAATGCATAAAATTTTACATGTAAATTTTTAGTTATCTCATTAAACGCACCTACTATAACATGACGTCGATGTTGCCGGAGAGGCAACAGATGCTGATTGCGAAAGTTCAAAACCCTAGGCAAGGGGATCGAGTTTCGCTCTGATACCATGTAGAAATTGATAGCGCAGAAGATTGAAAGAACACACGAGACAAGGGATTTTACGTGGTACCCTCGATTGATTGATTGATCGTTCACGGTGAGCTTGGCTGATGTTTTATTGAACGACTACATAGTGAGTTTTGACGGCTTGCTTACGACATGTTCGTAGCTAAGTCTTATATAGAGATAGACTATGGTTAAAACCATAACGAGAAGAGTTGAGTACGACACCCAATACTAACACGGTTTAAGTAACAGCAACACAACTCAATCTTTCAATAGATGGCTGAATGGCTCCGACTGCAGGGTCTATGACTGGCTAGCCGGGAGATGAGGGAGGAAGGAGACGACTCGTCGTCGGCGACTGAGAAAGAGGAAGCGCCAACTCGTCGCTAGCCGCCTACGAGATGTGTGAATGACAGAGGGAGGGTGAGATTTGACTAGAGGTCGTCGGCGGTGCCCCTGATGCTCAGTGGAATGTTGGAGGTCAATGACGACACTTTTGGGTTCTGCTGTCGCAGTCGAGAATCGAGATGGGGAGAAGAGGGAGAGACCTCGATGGCACTTCTGTGTCGGCTTAGCTGAGGGAATGAAAATAACCCTAGCGGTAGGGGGTTTGCTGCCGTTTCAGCTTTAACTCAGTCCCGCCCCCAGGACATTTTGGTTATAATGATATATATTGGCGGTTTATAATCGGGTTGGAAGCCGGTATATCGTTACCCACATATCAGCCACCGCATACCGGCATCTCCCGATTTAACGGTCAATTGGTTACCACCGGTTGTCTGTTCGATACCCGATTATACCGTTAACTACATAACCGAATACCATCTCTAGCTAGTGGCGGAGGAAAAGTAGAAAATAGAAACTGGGCCTTTGCTTCTTCATAATTATCTATGGCCCTTTATCATTTAACGTAGTTCAATTATGGGCTGAAAATAAAAAAGCTAAGCCGGCCCGTGGGCCGTGGCGTAGCACGGCTTCCGGAATGGTAGTAAAACAAATCCTTGACGCACAATTTGTTTTGACTCGAGGGTTTATTGTAGCGCCATAAGCCCATAATGGTGCCAGCCGTATTTTTTTTTATCTGTTCCTCTTCTGCCGGTAATCCGGCGGCCAACCACCGTTAAACCCTAAAGCCTTCCGACACAAACCTACTAAATGTACCGCCTGCAGCTCGTCGGTCGCCGAGTGAAGCCGTCTCCGTCGCCGCACCTCTCACTCTCCTTCACGCTTCTCTCGCGCAACCTATCTTCCTCCGCCGCCTCGTCGAAGCTCCGTGATTACTACTCCTTCGAGCCTCCTCCTTCGCTCTCTCCGGAAAACCGAACCAGCCATGATAATCCACCTCCGACGAAGAAGCAGAAGCCGCGGTATCAGCCGCCATCTTCTCTAAACCAGTCCAGAAAGCCGATGCACTCTGATCTTCCGTTTGATTTCCGGTACAGCTACACGGAGAGCAGCCAGGCGGTGCGGCCAATTGGGCTTAGGGAGCCTAAGTACTCGCCCTTCGGACCACGGCGGCTGGACCGGAAATGGACCGGCGTTTGCGCCCCTGCGGTGGACCCGAAAGTGAAGTCGGTCGACGAAGCGGCGGATCAGAATCTGGAAGAGGAGAGGCAGAAAAGGAGGGAAAGGATACAGGGAGAGCCACTTACCAATGCCGAGAGGAAGATTTTGGTGCAGAGCTGTCAGAGGAATAAGACCAAAAGACAAGTCAATTTGGGTATGAAGTTTTCTCTTTCATGGAGTTTCAAACTATAACAAAGCTCTGAAATTGGTTCTTTTGCCCAATTGCTAAATGGGAAGATTCTGTGTAAATCGTGCCCTTTGACGTTTGAGAGCTTGGCCATAGAATTGTCCCGTCCTTTCTTTTCCTCTCTGATTTTGTGGGGTGTTCTGGTGTCCATTTTTTTGGGTTGCAGGGAGAGATGGATTCACTCACAATATGCTGAATGATATTCATAACAATTGGAGAAGTGCTGAAGCGGTTAGGATCAAGTGTCTAGGTGTTCCCACCGTTGACATGAAAAACATTTGCTCCCAGCTTGAGGTAGTAATTACTGTTCTTTATGTGATTTCGTCGAGCTGAAGTGATGTTGCGTCAGGTGGGGTTTTACATAGATTTTACTAGCTGAGTGTATTATGTCATTTGCAGGATAAAACTTTTGGGAAGATCATTCATAGACATGGTGGTCAGTTGGTTTTGTATAGAGGTCGGAACTATAATCCCAAGAAAAGGCCCGCCGTTCCGTTGATGTTGTGGAAGCCTCACGAGCCTGTATATCCTAAGCTTATCAAAACTACCATTGAAGGCCTTAGCATTGAGGAAACGAAGGAAATGAGAAAGAGGGGACTGGCTGTTCCTGCAGTTACAAGACTTGGTACGTTTACCTTCTAATTTCGTGGAAGATAATGTTAATTGTCTATGTTTTGCAGAATCCTTTCCCTTCCTTCTCGTCTACTATAATTGAAGGCTATCGCAAGCGGTTTTTAGCTCATTATTCTTCCACTTACATATGGCAAAGTTGCTAATGTGCTTGTTTCAACTGCAGCCAAGAACGGTTACTATGGCAGTCTGGTACCTATGGTGAGAGATGCTTTTATTGTGAGCGACTTGGTTCGCATAGACTGCCAAGGCCTTGAAAAGAGTGACTACAAGAAAATAGGCTGCAAACTACGGGTACGACTTTCTAACCAGATTATATCCGTGCTTTGATTTTCTTGTGGAACATGAATTCTCTCCAACAGGGTCTTCCGCACTGAAGTTTTATAAGGTCTGAAACTCTTTGCGTTACATTGAAAGGAACCCTCTATGCCGTTATGTATAATCATTTCGAGGAAACATCAATTTTACAGAACGAGAAAGGTTGTTGTGTGTAAGAGTTAGCGCAAGTGGCCACTGCGTCATTAGATTTGGATGGTCTAGTGCAGTTGGGAGTTTATATTAGGAACCGATAGCATTTGTTTATCTGTGGCTGATACAGGAATCCATGGCTTTTTTATGTGCCCTTTCTTCTCGTAGCACATCAATGATTCTGTATCATTCTATTTGATCCAACTCTTATCAAGGGATTGTTGTATCTGTAGGACTTGGTTCCTTGCGTCCTGGTAACATTTGAGAAAGAACAGATCGTGGTTTGGAGAGGAAGCGATTACAAGCCTCCAGAAGATGGACATGTATATAGTAGTCGGGAATTCTTCGACGATCCTGAGGGTGACATGATGACATTTACTACTGAAGACGACGAACTTCGCTCAGACTAGTGGGGAAATGATGAGCGACTACAAGGATAGAAAAAAGAGTCGGCCTTTGTTCACAGCAAGTCATTCTCTCGTTACACTTGCATCAAGTCTAGTACCATTTTCCTCAAAAGAGGTTATAATCAGATCGCCGTGTAAGTGAATCGCTCGCTCTCTGCAACTTATCATCTGTTGGTTTGTTGCATCACAAGTGTAAGGGCTATGGTGTCTGCTCCGGTTAGGCTGTATTGTGTATAGTAGGAAAAAAACATTCAATTCTAAAATATTGATTAATTAGTAAAATAAAATGAAAATATAATACTATATCAAATCATTCATATTTGAATCTAACACATTTATAGAGTAAATAGCTAATAGCTAGCATAAACTTGTCAACTAGACAAAAATCTTTTTTACTTCTAAAAGATTAAAAGTCTACTAGACTACTACCAATTATTCAAACACACTAAGTTGCACCAATATGCATCAAAATAATTCAAATGTAAAAAATGATATACAATGACCTATTACTATCTCATCAACAATTTTGGTAAGGTGGTCATCTTCAAGATGATTCAGGAGTCAGGAGAGGAATGGCAACGACATTGTGGAATTGAGAAAGTAAACTGTAGCCGGGTGAGAGGGTTGAAAATTTCAAGGGTTTTGATAAAAATATAATTATCTTATTGATTACCTTCATGCTAATAATAATTTATATAAAATATATTTGTAGTTTTTTACGTATAGCAAAATAACTTGATGGGGCGGGTTTGGATATGGGTATGGGGCGGGGGACGCTAAAACTATACCCGTCCAATAGCTATCAAGTTCTTTGCGGGTTTTACCCATACCCAGTCAATACGGGGATTCCCATGTTGACTAGCCTCATATTTTAGACAAAAAGGAATACCAAAATGGGAAGCAATATCTTTTAGTTTAGACACTGATAGTGATCAGGGAAGTTTGGTAATCAAATGGTTAGGGTTTGATATATTATGGATGGGGAAAGGTTTCGTGCGATGAAGACTTTACATGGAAGTTGGTAAGGGTTTGGTAATATTTTCGTGATTTAAGGATACGACTTCCTCATGGAAAAAATATTTTTGTTATGAAAATTAAAAAGAGTTAATTGCATGGTTGGTCACTGAGATTACAAAAAACGTTCACGTTTGGTCACTCGAACTATTTAAATCTATTGGTGGTACTTCAGTTTACTAAAACCGTTCACGTTTGATCACTTCTCGTCCAACTCCGTTAACTTTGGCTGATGTGGCAGTCAACTCTCCGTTAACGGTCAATTTTGAGAGTAGTTGACTGTCACATCAGTTGAAGTTAACGGAGTTAGACGGAGAGTGACCAAAACATAAACGGTTTTTCAGTAAATTAAAGTACCACTACCACCAATGGATTTAAATATTTCAAGTGATCAAACTTGAACTTTTTTTTGTAATATCAGTGACCAACCATGCAATTAACCCAAATTGAAAATGATTACTTTTACGGAAAGTAAAGCACATCAGACCTAAATCTTTTTCTTCTGATTCTGCAGCCTTCATTGATGGTCAAACACTTGAGAGTAGACCTGTTTTCTCCTTCTTGCACGCAGCCAGGTGCCAGCAGCCCCATTCTTCTTCCAGCTTCTGCTGTGAAATTGTGATTCATACCTCCATTTGGACTTTGGAGTTCTCCTCATTTTTCAAAGAAAGAAAAAAAAATGGTCACAAATTGGGTCCGTGATGAAGAGAAGTTAAGGACATGAGTAGTGATGAGTAGATCAAATCATCACGTTTACTTTCTTGCTGGCTCACACTGTCTATGATCCCACACACTCATACTAGAAGTAATCATTTATACACGCACAAGCACAGTTCATTAAGCCAGAGCTGGAGGACTTGCAAATTATGGGGAAAAAAACCCAGAGTTGAAATCTAAACACTTAAAAATTCTTTTCTTTGTTATTAGTTATTGGCTTATTGCCATGAGCAACTAGTTCTTTTCTCTTTTACTATTGCCATACTTTCGGTGGTGAACCCCAAAAAACTTATGTAGCAATGTCCTTTTTCAAAAATTAAATTAAAATAAGTAGATATTTAAAAAATACTTAAATAAAAATATATCTTACTAGTAATAATTATAAAGGACTAGAAAACCGTATCGTACCGTCAGTTGAACCTCAAAATACAAGTACCGAAACAAAATATGAAATGATAAAAGCATAAGTGGTAAAGAATTGTGTCGGCCGGTATTTAAAGGTTGAACCTATGAACCTCAGTATTCCAGCTTGTTTCAATCATATCAAAGAAGCTCGAAAAAATTTAAAAAAAAAATCTCTAACATCAAAGCAACATGAAGGGTTTGTTATTCCTGAACATGCCTCGAAAGTCTATAAGTTAGACAAATCATTGTATGTTTTAAAACATGATCCAAAACAGTGGCATAAAAAGTTTGACAATTTGGTTCTCTCACATTGCTTTAAGGTGAATGAAAATGACAAGTGTATTTACTAAAAATCAGAAATTAACACTTGCACTACCATATGTTTGTATGTAGATGACATGTTGATATTTGGTACAAATATTCACATGGTCAATAAAGCAAAAACCATGTCGGGAGAGAATTCTGAGGTGAAAGATCTGGGTGAATCTAAGTTTATGCTTGGAATCCAAATAAATATAACATCAAATGGTTTTTCTTTAGATCAATCTGCTATATAGAGAAGAACTTGACGAAATATAAGTATTTTGACTATAAACCTGCTTTTACTTCGTGTGATGCTAGTATAAAGCCATTCAAGAGCGTCGGAGATAGTGTAAGACAATCTGAACATGCTAACATCATTGGCAGTCTCAATTATGTGGTGGATTACACTCCCCAGACATTGCATATGTCGTGGGATTGCTTGGCAGGTTTAATAGTTGTCATAGTAAAGAGCATTGGAATACTTATAGAGAACGTTATGAGATACCTCAATAGATAAGCGACCTTGGTATGCACTATCAAAGGTTTCCTGATGTACTAGAAAGGTATAGTGATGTGGATCGGATTACCCTTTCAGATGACTCCAAGGCGACTAGTGGATATATTTTTAACATCAGTGGAGGAGCTGTGTCTTGGAAGTCTAACAAAAAACCAATCCTATTACAATCAACTATTGAATAAGAGATGACAGCACTAGCAACGACTATTGAAGAAGCGAGTTGGTTGAGAGGATTATTGTCAGAGATGCCCTTATTGAAAAGATCGGTCCCTTCAATATTGATCCATTGTGATAGTACCGCAACTATCGCTAAATTTCAGAACCAGTTCTACAACGAAAAGAGACGACAAATTCGTCGTAAGAACAATATTGTAAAAGAACTCCTAATGATAGGAGTAGTGAGAGTGGATCATATCAAATCAGAATAAAATCTAGCTAATTCTTTGACGAAGGACTAGCTAGAGAGAAAGTCCAAAATACCGCAAGGGTATGGGAATTATGCCTATCGAATCAATAACTACAAGTGATGTTAACTCGACCCAATTGACAAGAAATCCCAAGAAATGGGTTCTATGGGTGATAACAAGTAGTTAGTAGTATGTGAAAAATTCATGCATAGTGAAGCATGAATTCCAAAACAATGGAGGTTGAGTTAAAATCTTAATAAGATCTATACCTTATATGGGGCAAAGTACTTTACTTTGGGGTACTTCTGATAGACTCACCTATGTGAATGTGGGAGTGGTACCGCTTTCTATGGAACTTTGGAGGCACAAAGTTGCTAGATCATTCACTAAAAACTGTGATAACTTGCAAGACCATAAACGCACGACCTATGAATGAATATCACTCAATGAAAAGATTATGTATGCTACACTGTCCGAGATAGAGTTCAAGACTAAGAGTCACTCTTAGGAAATAAGAAGTGTAACCACTACACTTAGGTTCAACTCGAGAGATACCTTAGTTTATGCCCGATCTTATGGATCTGCTGATGCTAAGAGATAGTTTCAAAACTATTTAAGTGGGTGATTGTTGAAAATGAAGATGAATAACTTTGAAAGCTATAAGCCACAAGGAAAGAGTACCACATTGGTGGGAGAACTTCTACCAAAGAGTTATAAAGATTGGGTTCTCTCACCTAAGGGCATGACCCTTGGGGTGACCCACTTGTGAGAGAGGTAGAAACTAATGGACCACCCCTTGCGAGCACCGTCCAACCGACCGGTTGGTTGATAGTTTGTTGCCAGACACATTTTAATAAATGAGATATTTATCTATTAATTAAATCATGACTTATTTCCTACGAAAGAGAAATATTATGTGGGTCTCAACTCCTATAAATAGCCGACCCCTCAGACCCTCTAAACACACCTTCGAAGACCAGAAAGACGAGAGAGAGAGAGAGAGAGAGAGAGAGAGTTTAGAGAGCTCCGGTTTTCGCAAAAAATCAACAAACAACTACTCTGACTGTTTATCCTGGAGGCAACTAGGCTGATAGTTTGTTGTGCGCAACAATGGCAGTGTTGAAAACGTATTAAAATGAGCCATTGTTGAAAACGTATTAAAATGAGCGACCTAGTCCGCGATTCAGGCAGATTCGATAACACTTATTTTAATTGTTCTATTACAAATCGTTTTTAGTTAAGTGCTAATTAAGATATTGAATGATATATGTGTATTAAACGCGGGCTCAATCCCACGCATTTAAAGAGTGCGAATGGGGCTATAGGATATGACGCCAATCCGCTTTCACTGATCTGTTTGAGCTGAAGGACCCTGGTATGAGTTTTGAATTGGTAAAAAGGGTGACGGAGAAGGCCGATGACACGAGATTTGCTGGTTGGTGCACTTTACATTGGTTCCTATGAAAAGAGAGGAATGCACATCTCTTCAATGGATACAAAGTGGCGGAGGGGGATATTGGGGGCAACTCTTCTTCTCACAGTACCAATGATAACGATGTAATTGCACATATTTGCGCCCCTAGTTCTCATCCGTTTGAGGGGCATAGTCGTGTGTTTTGGCCTATTTTACGCCGGGTTGTGCTATTTTGTCATATTTCAGGTCCCAGGCGTCAAAGGAAAGGCTAAGCGCGAGTTTCGGGGCATTCGGAAGTCATTTCGTCAAGTTGGGGCCAAAACACGGGCACACCTAAGGCATTACACAGCCGTGTTCCTGTGGCCGTGCTTTTTATGCCGAGAGCTGAGCTGATTACACGGGCAGGGCCGAGACAAAGCACGGCCGTGTTCATGCATTACACGGCCGTATCCAACGCGAAGCACGGCCGTGTTTCCTCCCAACTGCTGGCCGTGTAATTAACCTTGGCCGAGACACGGGCGGACTCAGGCAAAGCACGGCCGTGTCCTCGACCGTGCTTTGGCCACTGATGCCTTTTTAAGCAGATTTTCAGCCAAAGAGAAGGGGATTCGAGTTTTAGAGAGAGAGATCAGTTCCTAGAGAGAGAAAGCAACGAACAAGAGTCTCCAAGCGCCCTAGCTTGATCTTCAACACCATTGGAGGCTTGTTTGAGCTTGGAGAAGTGCCGATCAACGTCCAGGAGCAGGAATCCATCCTTCAAAGTATGAATTTCGCGTCTGATTCTGCTTTTGCTTTCTTCTCCATGGAGTAGTTCTCCCATTCATCTGGGTATGGAGAACCCTAGATTTGTATGTTAGGCTTTGATTGTATGAACCCAAGTACCGATTCTATGATTTGATTATATTCGATTAAGGTTTGAATGATTGAATGACTTGAATCCTGATCAAATTCCTGTTGTTTCTGCTTTGACCTAGAATGAGAATATCTGCCTAGGTTGATAGAGCATCCTTGATTAAAGGTAGGGAGTTGGTGACTTTAGTCGAGGAGCCAACTCACTATTATGTACCGGATTTACTCCGGTAGTGGAGGTTTTGTTCTTAGGGCCTCAATCTGTTTACTCCGGTGGAGGTTAGTCGCCCGCTAGAGACTCAGATTGAGAGGGTCCGAAGACCTTTAGTCGAGACTTCAGACTGTTTAAGAACCTTTCGCAGTATAACTATCATAGAAACTGAACTTGGTAATTACAATCCGGCTTAACTGCAGTCTAGGGGGAACCATATCCGGGTGACCTCTCTTAACTTGAATACAACCGTTTACCTGCTTTGTTAGTTAGACTTGCATTCCAGTTTCATTGCTAGATAACAAGAATTCACTGAGTAGTCATCAAATCTAGGACCCGGGTTGATAATTAAACCCAAACCTGCTATACTACACTTTAGGAAGTGGTTTCACTTGGCCAATTCCTGGAGTGACAGTAGAGTCGAGTCAACCAACAACACCAGGGGCAAGAGGATGAGGTTCAAATGGTGGAAAGATTGAGACAATGGAGGAGACTAGTAGCTAGGAGAGTGGCAGTCAGTACGAATGCTGGTTGAATCCAAGGGGGCGGAGCAGGGTTGGGAGTGGCGATCCGTAATTCGGAAGGGAAGTTTTTGCTTGCTGCAGCCAAGCGAGTTAAAGCCATAGACCAGCCTACAAAATGGCGGAGGCGTTAGCGCTCGAAATGGGCGCCCAATTTGCTGTTCACTTTGAGATACCAGACTCAGCATTGGAAACCGATTGTCTGTCCCTTGTTCAGAAGCTGCACAGCTCGACGACCCTACGGCGGAGATGGGTGGTGTGTAGCAACGTCCAGCGCCTATTTTGGTTTGTATGGCACACATCATGGCTCATTATTGAACCGCGTTGGGATGAAAGTGTAATCTGGTTTGATAGACCTCCGATCTTTTCTGGTTGATCAGATTCAACTCGATCATGTATAAGTGACACATGATAAAAGCTTAAGCAGATTTCCATAAATAAATAAAAAACTAAACTTTCTTTCGTAACCTTCTCTCCCAAGTTGTTGGGCTAATTTCGTAATTGTACAAACAGATTTTCCTCTCTAATCGAGCGCCGGATACGAGAACTATATAGTCCGATCAAATCTGTATATGCATCCCTAGATTACAATTTACATTACATGAAAGATTTTCCTCTCTAATCGAGCGCACCAAAATCGGCCCACACGTGACGCACGTGGCATCGACCCTGAGAACCAGCTCTCCACGCTTTTGTCTTCCACTCCAAACACAGCGAGCCCAGCCATCACCGTCCCTCGACACTCCTGACCTCACCCATCATCAAAAGCTAAAGTCAGCAATCAGAGCCTCACGAATTCTTTCTCCTCCCATTTTCCTCGGCTGTCTCCATGGCTGCCCACGATCTCTCCTCCCCTCTTCTCGCCTCTACTACTCCGCCGCCGCCGCATCTCATCCTCACTGTTGACGGCGACGACGATTCCAAATCCCGTCAACCCACCGCTAACCACCAGAACGGCGGCCGGGCCCACTCAAATACCAATCACCACATTACCCCTCGCTCCAACTCCACTACTCACCGAAACCCTTTCGAATTCGTCGGCTCCGATGATTCCTTCTCGGTCCCCCCGCCCTGCACCATCGATCCCTTCCGCAACGGAACTCCCCGCATCGACGGACTCTACGAGGTTCTGAAGATTCTGCTGCTGCTCCCGATCGTGGTAATCAGATTGGTGCTCTTTGGACTCTGTTTGGGGGTGGGCTACATAGCTACTAAATTGGCGATTTTGGGATGGAAAGACAAGCACAACCCTATGCCCAGATGGCGTTCTCGCCTCATGTGGGTCACTAGGTTTACCGCCCGTGGCATTCTCTTCTCTTTTGGGTCTGTATTTTTGTCTCCGCCCTTTTTATTTCTCCCTACTTTTCTGGGTTTGCTCCGCATAAGTTGGTGGCAACTTGAGATGCTACTACCAGTGGAGGATTGATTGATTAATGGTGTTTACTTTGTTTTGTCTGATTGCAATTACTGCATCCAGCTACCAGTGGATACGAAGGAAAGGAAAGCCGGCTCCCAGAGGAATTGCTCCGATCGTTGTATCAAACCACGTTTCTTACATCGACCCCATTTTCTATTTCTATGAGATGTGCCCTACCATTGTTGCTTCCGAGTCGCATGATGCTTTGCCTTTTGTTGGAACTATCATCAGAGCTATGCAGGTAATTTGTGCTTTTCATCTCCTGGCGATTTCACCTAAGTCGGACGTTGTCATCGTTATTATCGTAACAATGTCCTTTTTGCCTCCAATATTCCGCTCTTCACGCTGTTTTATGCTTTTGTTGTGTCCCCAGGTTATATATGTTGATAGATTCTCACAACCGTCAAGGAAGAATGCTGTCAATGAGATAAAGGTATAAACTTGCTGTTTCTTTTGTTAATCATCTCATTTTACTTTGTTCAGTTTTTGTGTAGCTAGTTGTAAGTGGGAATTGGAAGAGAGAAAGAGTCTTTGATTTTGTTTCTCTTAGGTTTTGTGTGATTTAGGCTTATGTGCATTAAAAGATGACTTAAGTCTTCCAGAATGATAAGCCAATTTCTTACACTCACGAAATTCTGTCCAGCAGTCGTCTTGAAAAAAGTTCTATGTAAAATAAAATTTTCAATTTATTAGCTATTTGATACAGAATTGTGCTTTCAAGGATCTGAATACAGAGAAAGGGATGTTGCGATAGATTTCCTCGAGTGCTGTTGTTTCCTGAAGGAACCACTTCCAATGGAAGAAGCCTTCTTTCATTTCAACTTGGAGCATTTATCCCTAATTACGCAATCCAACCAGTGGTTGTGCGCTATCCACACGTTCATTTTGACCAATCTTGGTAAGATGGATTCCTTTTCCTGAAATTTAGAGTTTCGACTTTTAATGCATCCTTTACCAAAACTTGCTCATGGTTGCTATTCATCAGGGGGAATATTTCCTTGGCAATGCTCATGTTTAGAATGTTTTCCCAGTTTCACAATTTCCTTGAGGTATGGTTATTATCTTTACTTAAGGCCATTCATTAGTTACTTGTTTAGCTGAAATATTGATTTGATTTCTGTTATAAATGGATAGGTGGAGTATCTACCAATAGTTTCTCCCCTTGATAATTGCAAAGAAAACCCTGCACATTTTGCCAAGAGAGTGAGTCACTGCTCTGCAATTATTATGTTTTGCTTTTCTTTCAGTTTTACCATTATTTGTTGATATGCAACACACTAAATTGATATTAAAATTAGGCGGGAATATTTGTCTGCTTGGCAGTAGTTACTTATATCATATTCTTCTATCATGTTTATATTGAGATTGACTATGTGAATCTTTGCAGACAAGTAATGCTATGGCATCTACTCTCAATGTTGTACAAACATGCCATTCCTATGGGGATGTGATGCTTTTCATGAGAGCGGCTGAGTCTGGCCAGGTTTGCTGTTCTTCGTCATTATCTGCCATGGTTGATTTTTTTATGTCATGCGATAAGTAGTCATCTGAGAGCATCAAAGATGACATGTAGAAAGGAGTACTGGACTATAGAATCATAAACTTAGTTGTCAAAACTAAGCTTTGTGCTGAGCTTAAAGCTCACTTGAAGTGAATGAAATCAGAAAGTTTCTCCTCTGTTTTGAAACTCCTACATGCCGTTAGACCAGCTCAATTCCTTCCATCTGGACTTCTTTTCAACTTCGTTAGACATTTTTCTCTAGTTAACTCCTATATGTCCTTAGCTCAACTTCGATTCTTGCACCTGGACTTCTCTATTTATGGCTAATCCTTCTTGCTTCCGCGTTGGTCTTTCCAATAAACTAGTTTCATATGTTGATGTGAACGTACCAACTTCAGATATTTACTTGTGTATGGTGTTGCAGGAGAAGCCTTCAAATTTTATGGTTGAAATGGCAAAGGTGGAATCGGTAAGCCACAATACATTAGACTGCATGCTGTATCTGCAATGTTCATATTGATGATATTGCTTTCTGTTGGTGTGGAATCTCTTATGTCTTCTGTCACCTTGCTCACCCATTTAATGGTTTTTGCTTGTTTGCCTGATCATGGTACTTGACCCTAATAGCATAATACCTAGATCGAGTCTAACATAATTCTGGACTGAGGATTCAGTTGGAAATTGCTTAATAGGTATGCCAGATATCAACAAAACTTTGGTGGTGAGGAAAAGGGGATAAGTTGGCTAATTTAGTTTGGGTATAGCTCCTGTTATTGGTCTAGAAGTAAATATGACGTCTGTACTATGCAGTGACAACTCTTATGCTCTTTCACTTTGCTATTGGTTTGTAGACTTACCTCACATTTATGAGAAACAGATGGTTCTTTTTTTAGTGTGGCCATATTTGATGGCTTTACTAAGTATGTGGTCCTATTGCTTTGTCAGTTATTCCACATACGCAGTTTGGAAGCTATGGACTTTCTAGAAAAGTTTCTTTCTATGAATCCAGACTCCAGGTATGATGCTTTGCCTCCATGTTTATTTATTTATTTATTTATTTTAATCTATCTTCTTATGATTGAGAGCTAATATATCCGCTGTAACTGTCATCCGTTCTGCAGTGGCCGTGTTAGAGTCCATGACTTTTTGAGGGTTCTTAAACTGAGGCCTTGCACTCTCTCAGAAGAGGTTTGTCATTAGATAGTTACTTTTTCACATGATCTCCTACTGTTTGAACTGTTATGCCTCTTCTCTCTATGTCATTGAAAGGCCGAGTTGCTGCGAGCATAGTTGTTCGATGAAACTTTGGCCAATAAGCCAAGAAGCTTGATATGAACTGATACGTACTGTTCACTTATTACATACCATATGATTTTAATTTTATCCTGATTCCTAAGTGGGAGGTTTATAACAAATTCAATGTTTGATAACTGAAATCTGTTTCATGGAGTGTAGGTTTTTGCGTTCCTTGATGTGGAAAAGAGTGGATCAATTACATTCAAACAGGTACCTTTCTCCGCTGTGTTTTCTGTCTGGCATGAGTTTTTAAGTTTTTTCATGCGTGATTCAAAGCTACTGCTGATAGTTAAACTTCGAAATTGCTAACCATTTAATTTCATGATGTCATCAGATAGCTAGCCTGGATTTGTTTGAATGTTCTATATGGAATGCTTTTCTTCATGTTATTTGACTATTTGTCTGTTGCAGTTCTTATATGGATCATTGCACGTCATGAAACAACCACAATTCCGCAGTATGTGTGAACTGGCATTTAGTGAATGTGATATTCTTGAAGAACATGAAATCTCGCAACACGAGGTATTATGCTTGAGAAGCCACATCCTTAGATCATTTGCCTTTCAATTATTCATTCCATTGTGATGATATTGCTGATGCTGTCGTGGATTTAAGCAGTTTGGAGATGTCATTCGACTTGGAATCCCAGATTTGGATGAAGCCGAGGTACTTAATGACATTTATGTGTCTCTCAGTTCCCCCTTTTCCAAACCCAACTGAATCTTGCATTATTCTTAACAGAACAAATAGATATAAACTGAACTATTCTTCAGCTAAGTGATATTCCTGTTACTACCTTGCAAAACCACCAGGTTCATGAATTGTTCAAGTTGTTTGACGTGGAGGGGAAAGGGAGGGTGAGCAAGGATAACTTCACCTCCTGCTTGAGAAAGAACCCGTTGCTTATAGCTCTTTTCTCGGCATGTTTGTCTCACAGAGATGCAGTGGATGATGATGATAACTCAATGGTGGAGGAGATAGTGTGATTTTTTGAAGTTATTGCCTAGCATTTTGGGACATAAATCTTGTTATGGGTTTGATTATTGTGCTGTAATCCTTTCCTTGCCCTCAAACCCCACAGTTTGATATCGTTTTGCTTTTGTGTTGATATTTTGCTTGTCGATGGAGAGAAACAATAGTGCTAGGAAGAGTTGGGCAAAGGGTAGTTTTTGTACCATGCCACACTCTTTGAAGGTATCGGTCCCGGTTCTCGCTGTGATTATTGGTTTGATGACTTCCTCAACATTAGAGCCCAAAGAACAGAAAGTGTTTTGACTTAAAACAATTGATGTGAAAAATACATGAATTGGCTTTTTTCTCTCGTTCAAATCAATGATCAACTCTCTTACTAGGCTCAAACGATCTAGAGAAGAAGCTGTTTTCCCGGCTACATAATTTACGGTATGCACAGAAGGAATGTAGTGCTTCTTGAAATTTTTAAGCGTCAGTATTCTCTCATAAAACCAACGACCGGATGCTTGTTTCATGAGTGGTTTCGCCTTAAGCCCAACCTTGGAGATCCAAGTAGAGCCTCTTAGAACGGCCTAGATTGGTCTTGCAAGAGTGTTACTCCCCATAAGCAAAGTTGATCCCTTGCATAACTATACAAAATCTCCCATATATATCCCTAAGTCATTTATGAAGGTAGACCTGGTAAATTACGAACCGACTTGTTGACCCGACTTGAATCCGCCCAAAAAAAAAATAGAGGAAGTTTTTATAACCCAAAACCTAAATGACCCGAACTCGATTAACCCGTGATTTTTGGGTCGGATTGGGTGGCTTAGCGGGTCGACCCGTTAGACTCGTTCCATTTCATATGACACTTCCAGAATGGTAAAATCACTCATAAATTGGTGAGATGTTTAAAAAATTCACAACGATTTGAAAGACATGTTTGGAGTTCAAAGATAATCAAATATCATGTGTTTATTGTAGTTACTCTTGTGATTGTTTTTGACGGTTTGTGCAATTTGTGTTTCATTTCATTAGCATGGAATGATTTGAGAATATAATAAGTGACATGCGTTAGATAAACTATGGTCATGCATATGTGAAGATTTGTTTTCTATAAAAAAAATATGAAGCATGTTTGATATCGTTTCATAGAGCGCTCATAACTCAAAACGACCTGTAACCCAACCCGAAACTTGATGGGTGGGTCAATATTTGACCTGAAATCAGTCAACCAACATGACACGACTCGTAACCTGAGGCCCCAACCCGAAATTACCCAACCCTACCCTATTGCCAAGTCTATATGGAGGGTGTCTAACCATTTTCCTTATAAATTTTTACTAGTTATATTTCTTTTGTTTTGAGTTTTAATTTAATTTTTTTCAAAGTTAAGAAAGATTAATTGTGCTCTTCAAAATGATATCCACTTTGATATATAAAAAAATTTGAGACATTTATTACCAGTCTATACCATGGTGGTGATACTTGGTATTACATAAGATCATACAACACGGTATGAGAGATAGCATGGTGGTATGAACATACTAGAATGTATAATAGTTGAATACATGATAAAGGCAATATACGAACTGTCATTTACCACATTCATCATAGTTTACCACCGGTTACCATCCATATACCAGGGTGGTAAGGGAGTGTTACATTATGGTCCTATTTTTTTTTTCCAGATATTATGTTTTGTGTTTAGCCCGTTAGTACTCTAGCCTATCATCAACATATGCAATATATGAACTGCGAGCCTGGCAGCCTGCGACACTCGGTCAAAGTAGTAGATTAATAGACCTTAGATTTACTTTTATACTATTTGATGCGCTTTGTGTAGTTTTTAGTGATTTTCGGGAAAAAAGCAAAAGCTAGGATGAATTCTGGAATGGACCTTAAGCGAGGAAGACAAAATCACGTCGGTTTAAGCTTCAGGTAGGCTCGCCGTGACCCATTTAAAGCTGATTTTTGGTGAGAGGCCCAAGGACCCAAAGAGATGTGTGGACCAAATGGCAGCCCATTCTGGCAAAAGGAAATATCACAACGGCCCAAGACCGTCGCTGACCTCAGCTGCTACTTTAGAAGTTTCCTCTTGTTGCGCAAGACAAGAAAGAAGAGTCCTAGTTCGAATAGGAAGAATTAAACCCTATGTAATGTCGGTTATTAAAAGGATTTTAGGCATGGGGACTTAGTTTAACTAGAGGGCTTGGGTCTCATTGTAAAGATATCTTGAATCCAAAGCTTAAAAAATCTCTCCATTTTGGGATGAAATGCGTTCGATTCCGTGATTCTAAACTATAGTAGTTTAGTCTCCACGAGATAAGAGGAGCAGCCATGTTGGCGAAATCCCTCTTATTGTCGAACTAAATATGCCTCCTTAATTAGGGGAGGGGGGGGGACATGTATATCTATAATTTTGTTCACTAATAATACATTACTACATCGATATTGAGATCATGCTTGTGATTATCATTCTTGGCTTCTAACCTAGGCTATCCACATGGCATGATAGTAATTGCATGTGCATTTTAGTTTGTATTTCGAAGAACTAATGCATGACATGATGAGAAATCACGCATAGACAATCATTGGATCACAAATCAAGAGACAACTTGAGTTCGCTTACCAAGTGTGCCACTACTGATATAAGTTCTTCCTAACTATTATGAGGTATTGAGGAAGATAAGGGAGTACTGCTCTTGCTGCTGCCATGTTTAACATGCAACTAAGAACCTCCATACTTATATAAAAAAGGCAAGGAGATAAAGGGTAACCTTTTCTAAGCCCCCTTTTTAGCTGGACAATTCCCCACTAAGCCTCCATTTATGCATAATTTGAAGCTAGTAGATTCACGACAACCCTTTACCCACTTGACAAACAATTTTGGAAACCTCATAGCAGTCATTACACTATATAGGAAACTCCAATCCACACTATCAAACGCTTTTATTATGTCAATTTTAAGAGCATAGCAGTCATTACACTATATAGGAAACTCCAATACACACTATCAAACACTTTTATTATGTCAATTTTAAGAGCTCAACGAGGAGAGACATTCTTCCTTTTATACCACTTAACCATTTCATGGGCAAAAATAATATTGTTTGAAATTAGTCTCCCTTTAAAATATAACAAAATTACTAAGTATGAGAAATACGTGCAGCTTCAGGAGAAGCCATAAATGCGAGACAAGAGGCCTAGGCATGATAAAAAATACTAAGTCTGAGAAGGCCATCCCGCTTCACGAGAGGGGCCATGTGCATTATTGGGATGTCCATGACCGTGTCACGAGATGGGCCATGAACGTGAGGAAGCAGTCCCGTCGCAAATTACATGGGTCATGGTGGCGATGAAGAACACATGGCGTGGTTACAGGTCAAGAGGCCATGCCATGATAAGCATCTCTCAAAGGAGATAAAAATGACTAAGTTTGAGAGGTTCATGCCGCTTCATGAGGAGGGGCCGGGACGCGAGATAAGAGGCCCTAAGCACGTTTGAAAATATATTAAGTCTGAGAAAGACATGATGACTCAAGAGAGGGCCTTGGGCACGAATGATAAGGGTGTGATGGTAGAGCATTATATCACTAGTGAATAAGTCCCAAGAGAGTCATGGACATGAGTAAGAAATACATGGCCCCGAGGCAAAAGGCCTACGACCCGCTAATACCACAGGTTCATCAAAAGACTAGCACGACACGAGGTTTCAAACAAGACCAAGCGAGACAAGCTACACTTCAATACCCATGACAATTCCAAGATGGGCACCTAGGTGGTTGAAGGAGTAACCACCACATCCGGGGAAGCAAGGAGCAGTAATTTTTTGGAGTTATCCAACATATGGTTTTCTACAACGATTACCTCCTCATGGCTATAAATAGGAGAAGGAGTCAATAGAGACAAGTGTTCCACAACTAGACAATTGACACCTATGTCAAACTTTACATTTTTTCTCTCTCCAAGTAGTCATCAGTCGTAGTTTGGAGTTCTCACTGATCCTCCATATATGAGTATAGGTAATTTAATATAGATCTGTTCTCAAGAATTTCATCAATCAAACACCCTCATTCGAACTGTGTGTTGAAGAGATTTGAATTGTTTGGTCAGAAGTCAAAGTTGCATCCATCTTAATTCAACAAAGATTTTCTCACCGGAAAACAATTCTCTTGTTATTTAGTAAACATAATTCCCCTAGTACCAACCACCAGCCAACAAACAACACAATTGACGCGAGATAATAATCAGGCTTAACATGATTATATTCTAGATAATCGGGACTTCTTGAAATACGATCGAGCCACTATACTGCAGGGAGTGATATTCATATACCTCTCAATTCCTCCATGAAGGGCTGAGTATTGTAATATTTTTAACAATTGTTTTTAAATGATTTAAGTAAAATATATTATTTATTAAGACTACAAATACTTTTGGAGATGATGGCCCCAGAAATGACAGGAGGGAAGGGAGAAAAGAAGACAAGGGCGAGTGTGTGGTGGACGGGCGCAGGGAAGGGAAGGATATTTTATTATTTTTCCTTTTCTTTTGATTTTGTTTGACAGCACAGAGAAGGAAATTGATTGGTGGCTAATGGATGCGTTTTCGGCTTCCCATTGGTTCGTCCTGTACGTAGTTGTACGGACGACTCTGACAGACTCGCCCATTTGTTCATTTCCAGATCTGTTGGGCTTATTATAATAAATAAATAAATAAATAATTATGAGGAAAACTACTTACTGAAAACCCCAAAAATTCTCACTCCAGGGACCCACACTTCTCATGTAGCCTGTAGGGTGCAGGCACTTCCTTCTAGAGATATCTTTTATTAAGTTATAGATGAACATTATCATCTCCAACATTAGCTTTTTTTATGTGTATGGGTTGCAAATAAATCGAGCCGAGTCGAGTTTTACTTTAATTTTTATTTGCATAGGGCTGCAAATATATCTCACTATAGCGACCCACACTTCTCGAGCTCGGCTAGCTTGTTTATTAGAATCTTAACTTTTATTTGGTACTTCATT